GTCATCAGGAGGAAGTTGTGATGAGTGGGACACGTGTGCACGGTGGAGGATAGGGTAAATAACTTGTCGGTTGCATTGCAGATGTAATCAGGAGGTTGTGAAGGCTGGGACACCTTCATACGATGGAGGAGGATAGGGTAGGAAACGTGCAAGTTAAAAGCATAACGTGGCAGGAAATGATTTTAGATATAACAAGGAGGAGGAGGTTGTGGTGAGTGGGTCCCGTGGGGTGGAGGAGGAGGATGATGATAGGGTAAGCAACTCGGAGGTTGAGGATAGAAGGATGAGGGTGTGATGAGTGGGACACGTGGTGTGCAGGGTGGACGAGGGGGGGGGGGGGGTGGCAGGTGACCGAGACGGGCACTGGAGTCGCGCCCGGCGACGAAGGGGAAAATAAGACCCAAGACCACGTGGGAGTGGTGGTGATGATGATGAGACTCTCAGAGCAGACCTCTGTGGCGTGAAGAGGGATTGTCCACAGCTGAAAGATTTGAGAGACGAAAGGAAGCGAAGGTGAAGCGCCTGGGGGGTTTGATAGTAGTGGTCGTGATGACCAACCATTTTGATTTTCATTCTCTGCAAATAATAATAATCATATCTGTTCACTGACAGCTGGAGCCCTGGTCGCGTGTCGCAGAGGGCTTTCACACAAGGTCAGAAACTGGCTTTTCAAGGTGCAGCAAAATCTGTGCTGACAAACACTAAATCATCAGATAATACTGTATTGTATATACAGTACAGGGAATCAATAAATACGTTAAAGAATGCTAAATTTAATCACATTTACACTGTAAAATCAGTCTGCAGTCATCGCACGGCGGATCAAAGAACTGCGATGAGGGTACGCCGCCGTGTACCGTATCGTTCATGAAGAAGGGACATTGCCTATAACGTCGCCTACTATATATGCCCCTTTTAAGGCCACATCGTTGTTGACGAACGCGTGTTAAGTTGTATCATCCTTCTACGATCATGTGTGGAAAATTGCCATAGCAATGTGGAATTTCCACCGCTGGCTTAGAGGAGGGGGCGGCCAATGGAGAGGAGACGGTGGCTAGGAGATGTTAATTCCCTCGCCTGGTATACAGGAGGTCGTGGGTTCGGTCCCTGACGCCTGCTGCTGTATATTTGGAGTTTGCGCGTCTCTCTTCCCGTGGTCGCGTGGATGTTTCTCCGGGTCCTCCGGTTTTTCCCTCCACATTTAGAACACGAATTTCGAGTGTTTGGCTGCTATACATTTCCACATGACGATACGCCACTTCGTTGGGCTATCATTTGTAGCCAGGTCGCTTCTGAAAAAGATCTACAGTATATAGCTCAGTGGGCTTTACCTGGACTTTAGTTTTTTAGTTGAGGATTCTTAGAGCCGACCTGGCACTCAATGAGCCTGGCGACGCTTTTCGGTTGCAACCCGTCGAGTAAGAAGAGTTCGGAATATCACACGTGGCAATTATGAACAGCTTGCCATGAATCCGTGGCGCCCCGCGCGCCGCCGTGGTGGCTCATCAAGGGCAGCGCGCGGGCGCACGGACCGAAATAACCGCGGAGAGAGACTCGCTCGGCGCTAAACGCGGCGCAGAAATAACCCGGGCGGTGTCCAGCGGGCGTCGTGTGCGCGAACAATGAACAATGCGAACGGGTTTGGTTACACCGCGCGGTGCTGATCGTAGAACTGTGTAGATCATAACAATAATTATTATTATACCGTTATAGGCATGTCGACTTGTTGCCGTGCGATAATTCGCTCGCTCTCGCAGAGAGAGGGAGGACGACTCAGAGGCGCCGGGAGGAGAAACCGCTGACGAGTTGTAAAGCAGCAGCAGCAGCAGCAGGCACGCGGTGAGCCAACGCCAACCAACAGTTACCCGAGCTCTGCGAACCCCTATATATGTACATTAAGGTGTTTTCGGCCAATCGATGATGAGTGGTTTACACGTGGGGAGGAAATCGGAGGGCCGGAGTAATCCCGCACTCGCCAGGTGGGCAACGCTCCATGATCATCATCATCCAGACGGGACGAGCGCACTACGTTGTTGCTTCACTGCCTTCTCCTGGCGGGCCGGGGTATGGCTCCTTCTCGCGACGGGAAGGTTTCGCAGTCTCGGTGTGATCCACCAGCCCCCGTGCACGGTGACTGAAAATGAGGTTACAGATGTGGTCCATTCGTCTGCAGTCAGGACATGGGCTCAGTTGCATAATACAACTGAACAATGTTGATGTGTTTCTGATAGAGCATTACACGCTTTAAGCGACTTTCGTCTCATCTAAAACTAATTGAAGTGCATCCCCAGTGGCAGCTGTCCCTGTGCGGCACGAGGTGACCGAGAGCCTGGCTCTGTCGAACGGGCATCAGACTGCGAGTCGGCGGCGATGATTGCATGCGGCCTAGCCGAGGGGACTCCCAGTGGCAGCAGTCTCTGTGCGGCACGAGGTGAGTCAGCACCCAGGCCTGCAAGCGGGCATCAGTCTGCCAATCCAGTAGGTACACGATGAGCTGATCTTCTATTCAAATCAGCAGCAATCCAGGGAGATGTTTCACTGAAGGCGGTGTTCTTTATCGCAAGGCCCGCGGGCCACTGGCAGCCCCTGGTGGTATTTAGTGCGGCCCAGACAACTTACAAAGTGAAAACACCTTTGGAGTGCCCGCGTGTTTATTTTCTTTGAGTGTCGCGCCCTCTACCGGATGCTGCAGTCATTGATGTTAAACTATTAAAACTTTTTTTATATTATTTGGTTCTTTCGGTAAAGTCACGTAGACAGAAAATACAACTTTTTTTTATTTTACCAGATAAGGCCCACTGAGCTGTGTAGCTCTTTTTTAGAAGAGAACTGGCCACAAACAATATCTCAACGAAGTGGCTTATCACGTGGACATTTATAGCTGCCAAATACTCCAAACGCGTAATGTTGATGCTAAATGTGGAGGGGGAAAAACCGGAGGAGCCGGAGAAAAAGCCACGCGACCACGGGGAGAGAGAGACACGTAGACTCCAAATATACAGCAGCAGGCGTCAGGGTCGAGATGGAACCCACGACCTCCTGTAGACCAGACGAGGTAGTCAACATCTCCTAGCCACCGTGGCATCATCAGCATCAGCCGTGACCTCTCTGCTGCTGGATGATCGAGGGACTTTTTTACTCCACATCCCATCAGCTACGCGGCCTAGTGGATGCGGGTGGGGAATTAATCGATTAGGCTACTTTTTTTTCTACCTCCGTGACTTAACGGAAAAAAACCAAATAGTATGGTGATGTTCTCCTTCGCTCGCGACCCGTTCTGCACGTATAGACAAACAATTACAAGTGTTCAATCTAGATTTGAAGTGTTGTAGCAATTACAAGTGTTACTTCCTCCAGAACCTCACGGCATTTCTGAGAGCGCACACTTTCAGCGGCATGTCCAAACTTGCTCCAGATGTGTTGCCCTGCCAGAGAGGCCGTGGCGGGATTATCGGGTGTGTCAACAGGAGTCCTTCATCTTGATTTGAAGCTTTCGTGACTGGAGGAATCCAAACTCTTTGGTTCTTTCGGTAAAGTCACGGGGGTATAAAATAAAATAAATCACGACGTTTCGGGCGCAACACACCTGATGGCGGACGCTTGTGTTGCGCCCGAAACGTCGTGATTAATTTTATTTTCTACCTACGTGACTTTGCCGAGAGAACCAGGAGTCCTTAGTTTGTTGTATAGGTGCAGAGACGGATATGCCGAGTCTGCTGATATCGTTATTTATATCATTGCCGTCAACCCGTACAGTTTACTCCGTATTCTTGTACAGGGAAGTTGAGTTTCCAGGTCCATACGGCGCACAGCCGTTTCAATACGGGCCACACGTTTTAATGTGTCTTAGGGGCCGTCCATAAATGACGTCACGAACTTACGGGGGGGGGGGTCAGACATTTGTGACGATGTGTGACGAGGGGGGGAGGTTTGAGAAATGTGACGTCACATTAAAATGCGTACCTTTAAATAAATACAGACAACACGTTCTACTTAATTAAATATACTGTTTAATAAATGTTTTCTCATACAACATCAGAGTGCAGCGCCACATTAAATACGCACTACAATGACAATAGTTTAAAGCGATTTGAAGCATGTTTTATAAAAAAAAATTGGGGGGGGGGGGGGCAGAGCTTTGTGACGTCATATTTGAGGGGGGGGGGTCTAACTTTTTGTGACGCCGTGTGACGAAGGGGGAGGAGGGTAAAAAATAGTCCAAAATCGCGTGACGTCATTTATGGACGGCCCCTAAAAAAAAAGTATGTATGTCGAGGCGCGCATCTGTGGAGTGTCCGCGTGTCGCGCCCTCTGCCGGATGCTGCAGTCATTGATGTTAAACTATTACAACTTTTTAATATTCTTTGGTTCTTTCGGTAAAGTCACGTAGATAGAAAATACACCTTTTTTATTTTACCAGGTAAGGCCTACTGAGCTGTGTAGCTCTTTTTCAGAGGCGACCTGGTCACAAACGATATCTCAACGAAGTGGCTTGTCACGTGGACATTTATAGCTGCCAAATACTCCAAACGCATGACACCATTGGAACCTCCTTTGCCAGTAGCAAAACACGACAATTGTTTTTTTACCCTTCCATCTGGCAACAAAACCGACACCCTCCTTACAAGGAGTCATGTTTGCATTGACCACAATACCTGCAGTCGGAATGCAAACAAAAAACATAACTCTGATAATGTATGCACTGCCCTTGAAGTTGATTGGTCCACACCCGAGACAGCTTTCTTTAGAGCCTAGTCTCACATGGTTTTGGACCAGATGACGCCAAAAGGCGCACAACTCAAAGACAATGCACCATCAGAGTATGTTGCCAGATGGAAGGGTAAAAAAAAAACAATTGTCGAGTTGACAAGTAAGTTATATTAAACTTGACTTTACCGCAAGAACCAAAGAGTAAGTTGCATTATTCAACGACAGACGATTTTATTATTTTATTTTATTGTTGTAGAGTCGTCCAATGGGCATGCGCGGTTGCGAGCGGCCCGGGAACGCGTTTGTAAAGTGCATGAGGGTGACCGCTCCGCGCTTGCCGTAGTCGAGGCCCACTGGGGATGACGTTTCCGAGCGAGTTGACGCGCGGAGTCCATCGCCGCCTCCTCCTCCTCGCGGTGAGTCGACCTCGATCCCTCCACCGCCTCCACTCCACCTTCCTACCTCGACCTTCCCGTCTTGACCTTCTCATCCCGCCGTTTTCTCCTTGACTTCCACGCCTCGACCTTCTCAGCTAGACTTGCACTCCGACGCGGCCTTCACCTTGTCGGATATCCGCCTTCCTATCACCTCACCGTCCTCACCTCGCCTCGACCTTCCACGCCTCCTCGACTCAACCTTATCATCTCGACCTTCGCATCTCCACCCCACCACCCCGACCTTGCGTGCGAGATACCTCGTAGCTCGTGGGCAGCAGCAGCAGCAGCAACGCAGGCCGCTCGCTGGTGGCCGCGTCCCGGCGTGGGGCCACGTGGGGCCCTGTGCGTGTAGGTACTGTATGTAGTACTTCCTCCGTTCACTTGTATTTAAGGGCTTGTCTCTTGCAATTTTGCCTCACTTGATACAGTAAATCTGGCTGTGACGGTCCCACCTGATGAGGGAGACTTGTGTTGCCTCCGAAACGTCGTGCTTTTTATTATTTTATTTCTATTATTACTTTTATTATTTTTATTTTTTAACTAAGTGACTTTACCGAAAAGGCCTAAGAGTATGTATTGTGTTTAACTTCTTTCGCACCGTACGTCCCCATTCGCGTATGGCAGGATAGCTGCCTCTGTTAGTAAAGCGCCGACTGACCGTGCCGCGAGTTGGCAGCGGGAGATGGTGGTTTGAGTCGAGGTCTGGTACCGGTACTGCTGTGACGACCTTCATTACAGCTAGGCCTCGGCAAGGTAAGGTAATTTACCCTTTTTACCGGTAAAAGGGTAGAGGTGTCGACATGCCAAGGGGTAAGGTAAAGGGTAGGGTAAAGGTAGCTCGGAAGAATTACCCGGTAGGGTCAAGGTAGCGTGAAGTATTACCCGGTAAATACGGTACCTTGTTTACCGATAAAAGTTCCGTGGCGCAGCCCGTGGCCTACATTTAATAAGTAATATTAAAACAAACTTTATTAAAAACACGCTTTTATTAAATGTACTCGTAATGGCAGAACTCCACGACTCCAGGAAGTGGCCCCGAAGCTTGCCATAACGTAAGGGACCGTGGCCAATTACAGCCAACGTCAGTTGATTATGGACAATTAGACCCAAGCCGAAACAGAACATAAAAAATAATGTTTTAAAATGTTTTCAATTTTTTATGATAGAATATAGTATTTTCATCAGTATGACATAAGTATACCAAGTTTGCAGTCGATACCACATTGTGAAGTGGGTTAAAATTGAGTTACAAGATTTGAGGATACAACAACAACAGAGTTTAAAGAAAGCGTGAAAATTTGGAATAATCAAGAGTATCCTATATGGATAAAGCGCTCTACCTAGCATTTACCGTTATAAACCTTTTTCATGTGTCATTTTACACGCTTGTTGTCATTGTTGTTGTCGTCGTCGTATCCTCAAATCTTGTAACTCAATTTTAACCCACTTCCCAATGTGGTATCAACTGCAAACTTGGTATACTTATGTCATACTGATGACAATACTATATTCTTGGCTGTAATTGGCCACTGTCCCCTTACGTTATGGCAAGCTTCGGGGCCACTTCCTGGAGTCGTGGAGTTCTGCCATTACTAGTACATTTTAAAAAAAGCGTGTTTAAAAAAGAAAGTTTTTAAAAATATTCTTTATTAAATGGAAGCCACGGACTGCGCCACGGAGCTTTTAGCGGTATTTACCGGGTAATACTTCGAGCTACCTTTACCCTACCCTTTACCTTACCCCTTGGCATGTCGACACCTTTACCTTTACCCTTTTACCCGGTAAAAAGGGTAAATTACCTTACCTTGCCGAGGCCTAAGTCACGGTGAGGGGGAAGCGCTTCGGGAACATCTCGCGAGATGTCAACTCCCTCGCCTGGTGTACAGGAGGTCGTGGGTTCGATCCCGACCCTGACGCCTGCAGCTGGATATTTGGAGTTTGCGTGTCTCTCTCCCCGTTGTCGTGTGGATTTTTCTTCGCATTTAGAACAACATCACGCGTGTTTAGAGTATTTTGCTGCTATACAGTTCCACATGATAAGCCACTTCGTTGAGTTAAAATTTGTGATTGCCAGGTCGCTTCTGAAAAAGAGCTACATAGCTCAGTGGGCCTTACCTGGTAACATTTTTTAAAATGTTTAGTTGTGTTTTTGGGGCTGTGGGGGAGGGAGGGGGTACTAGTGGCCTTGATTGGGGGGCCACCTGACCACACGTCTTGAGAGCCAGCGGCGTCACGTCCAGGCGGTAGTGGCCTGGCTGTGTTGTTAACGCCGCTGCAGCTACGTCACCAGGGCGACATGAAGACTCAGCGCCCCACTCTGACTTTAAATTGTTGTTGTTGTTTACCACTGCTCATGAACTCGGCGTCAAAGGGGGGGTCCAGGTGACAGTCGAGTTGGCACAACCTGGCAGTGTGGCTACGAGAGAAGAGCCCGGAGTGGTGGAGCTGTGTGTGCTGTTACAAAACTAAAAAACACTTTTGCTCTAAACATAAATATACGTCAAATAGACAATGTTTTGGGCAATAGGCCTTCTTCACAGCGCATAGAGAGGTCACGAGAGGGAGCACAGTGGCACTACCGCCTCACTTGCCTCACCATGCGCTGTGAAGAAGGGGCATTGCCCTCCACTGTAGCCTATTATATAGTATGTAAATATATTACATTTATATAAATATATGGTATATTAAATGAGGGACACACGCCTATGGCGTCCCTCATTTAAACGCACAAGTCCCAGCGGCCCCCTGGTGAAGGCGATGTACATCCCTCATGTATTCTGCATCGTGAGTCACGAATGGCCGCGATTGGGCCATTCGTCTACAACACAAGTTCCATGTGAACGTGTTCAGCCACAGCAGGCGAACTATTGTGGTGATCGGGAGTCGATGGTGGTCGGAATTCAGAAGCGCTTGGTCTGCTTCAAGAGCGGTCTCTGCCCTGAGCTTTGGTAGAGTCACGGCCTCCTACACACGGCGGCAGATGAGAATTCTCCCGTGTCGTGTCCGCGTCTCATGGCTGGGAACAGAAAAACAAATCCAAAACTGATGTACAGTTTCTTGAGAAGCACATGATGGTATTCGCACGTGGAGGGAGTCTGCACGCCTCTGGTGTATCGCTTCTCTTCCCCGCGTGTCTCCGCGGGACTCGAACGTCGTCTCCTGCGGCGGAGCGCGAGCGCACGGAGCCCTCGTGCGAGGTGCCACCAGGGCCGCGGAGTTGGGGAGCGCATGACGTCGACCAACGTGGACACGGCAGACTTCAGCTCTCGCCGGGTCGAGGAGTAGAGGGAGCCCCCTGCCGGTGTTTATCGTTCCCTGTAGCGTTGTTCTCACTCGAATCTGGCCGCGGCAACGGCCACAGTGGTGCCACAGTTGAACTCGTCTGTGACCGCGCCTTCGTCCCGTACGAGATGACCCTTTGCTCCATTCGCCTCTGCGCAGTCGCTCAGTGCGGGCACGCGTACAGACGGTCAGAACGTTGGCTGCACAAAGGTTCCGTACGCTGGCAACTTGAGTTTGTAGACCCTTGGAAGATGGCTGCAAATTTCAACCCCGAATTGTTTCTTCCCGGTCAACAGACGCCTTGACTACTTCTGACGCCCCCACGCCCAAGATGGCCGAGCCAGAGGGGACGTTTCACGACGAGGTGGAGATCGAGGACTTTGAGTTCGACGAGGAGACGGACACCTACTACTACCCGTGCCCATGCGGCGACCGCTTCGCCATCAGCAAGGAGGACCTGGAGAATGGAGAGGACGTCGCCACGTGCCCCAGCTGCTCCCTGCTCGTGCGAGTCGTTTACGACAAGGACCTGTTCATGAAGGGCGAGGTGGTGGCGGCACCGGCGCCGGCCGCCAAGTCGTTGCACGCGGCGTGACGGAGGAATGCGCGGAACTATGGCCGGCAGACTCCCCCGGGGTGTGACGAGCGAGGACGCGGGACCTGCCCCGGCACGCCCTGCGGGTCCATATGAAGCATCGTAGAAGGAGCATGCTCGCTCGCGTCAGGATGCTTGCGCCGCTTGGGGGTCGGGGGGAGGCGGGGAGGGACTTGCCTGCTGCTGCTGCTGCTCGCGATACACAGAGGTCACGCGCCGTCGTCTCCTCTTGCTGCTTCCGGCATCGCCGAGTCTCGGACCGCTGCACGCGCACAAACCTGGAAGAGTTGAGATGCAACCCACAAATGCGCGCAAGCAGTTTTTATTTATGCTCGTTGATTTCAGCTAACGCGGATCATTGTTCTGGAAAGTGTCCGTATGCTTAAAGTCGATTCAACTCGGCGGTTTACATGGGACGTGCTGTAATACAGATATGACGGGATGATGATGATGTTAATTGGTACAGGTGCCATTGCCCAGCGCCCCACGCATACGCCAACTCCACTCCTACCCAACGAGTTTGGCTCGCAGAGTTTTAGGGTCCGGTTGTGTCAGCGCATCTCTCTGTAGAGACTTGCTGTAGCGTCTGGAAGTAACCGTTCAAACACAACACGACTTTGAGCATTTGCGTCGGACCGCGTCTGCCGTTTTATAAATTCAAATTTCTCGACCTGTGCGTATATATAACTGTTGAGTGTCCCCGTTCAACGTTTCCGTGTCACATTTGTCCATTTGCAGCGTCTTTATTTGTATTACTGTAGGAAGTCGGCAGGTTCTCTGCTGCCAATTGAGTGTGGGCAGTGGCCACTGATTGAGGATTTTGGCATTTTTGGAGATTGGCAGCTTCCTGATGTTGGCGAGCACCTCTGCACTTTCCTATAATCACAGCTACGTGTAGCACCGGTACGCAATGCCATTCACAGGCACCGCGGGTCTACCGATCATGATCGGAGCAAGAAATCTCTGCTCAAACATTACTGTGTTCATATTGTGGACAGGAATTCAAGTCATGACAAGGGACCCATAGAGCCAAGTGCAGCTGAGGAGTAAGTGGAGGTAGCGGTTGATCCATCGGCACAGCCTTGCATTCAAATATCAGAAAATGTAAAAAGTGTACACGTACGCAATTGACAAGGGGGCGTTTCAGCTGTGTGTGATCGAGAAGAGACAGGGACTGACGGATGAGTAATTACATTTTCAACGGAACGTGCAAGAAATTTTGATCTTGGTTCTTTCGGTAAAGTCACGTAGAAGGGAAATGATAAAATAAAATAAAATTTACATAATAAAATACAATTCTCACGACGTTTCGGACACAATGCAAGCAGCCGTCCTCAGGTGAAGAACAGGTCTGTCGGAAAGACAGCGTCTGAATTTCATTTTATTATTTCCCTTCTACGTGACTTTACTGAAAGAACCAAGAAGATGAATCCCTGCAGTCACGAAAGCTTTAAATCGAAATAAAATAAATTTTGAGTGAAGAGATGCGTTTCCCGATGAGTGTGCCTCTCTGCACGAGCAGAGCTGCCGCTGGCTAGGTCAGGCCAGCCCCACACTCCAGCACCACCACAGTCCCGCGTTCATCACAACATACTGCCGGTCTGCAATGACGTAATGTGTATACACTCATTAATTAGCCGATAACACCTGAATATATAGAGCAGCGGTTCTCAGCCGGGGGTACGTGATGAGGTGATTCATAAATGTGTGAAATTATATCATGCATGAGAGTCATTGGTGAATAATCATATACGAATCTGCCAATAAAATAATGTTGATACATTTTAAATCCATATAGTAACCTAGAACTATATAGAAGACCGTTCTAAACTCTTTGATCGTACACAATGTGGTTTCCCAGAGTAACCAGCGAGCGTGAACAAATGACGTCACGCATCCAGCGCGTCTGTTGGTTTTGTTTTTATTCGTTTGCAGTTCCTAGCTCGTTAGGATACCTCACAAAATGGACAATTGGTGAAAATATTTCTGTTCATTATTAATCAATGTATTTCTCCGAACCGTGTTGGGTCGGGCGAGGGGGTTACTTGGTTGAAAATAAATTCAGCAAGGGGGGTAGAGTAGCTCAACAAGGTTGAGAACCACCACCGCACTAGAGGACGGCAGAGCTTGGACAGTTGTTGGCACCGACTCACTACGTGGCTGCCTTCACCGCTTGTCTGTGGTTCCTCGTCTCGCCCCCCAATCGTTCTCTCTCTCTACGAGAGCGGGGAGCGGATACCGTGCGGCGCATTACAAGTTCAAATGATTATTAAATGTGCATTTAATTGGGAGCATTGTGGCGAGTTTGTGTGGGCGTGCGCCCTGGAAGTTAGAGAGCCCTTTTGCTTGGGGAAGGGCTTGAGAGGAGTGATCCAAAGGCTGGGCCTAGCGCAGGGCTGGGCAACCTGCGGCTCTAGAGGTGAGTGCGGCTCCTCAAGGGCTGCCTCACGACGTCATCTATTAAGGACCACTGCCTCGCGTACTCACCGCGTGTGCATTGCAACTCTCAAAATGTTGAGGGTTTGTTTTAAACGAATTTGAAAACAACGTCCCTTGTTGTTTTGGTTGCCAACCCCTGGTCTAGACGGTCATTCTCACTTCAGTGAGCTGCCTCAGGTTTTATTTACTTGACATGAACTCTACACGTAGCTTTAAATCTTTTCATTCCACAAGCTGGTCGTGGTGGTCTGCAATGTTTAATTTTCTTTTTTCGTTGCAACAGTTTCGATATTTATCACTGAAGGGCTCCGTCACGTGCAGGCGAAGTAGTGCTCGGACTGTGGGCGTTGTTTCATATTTTCAACTTGACGACAATTAAGTCCGTGATAAAAACGCAGCTCGAGCGATGCTTGTGTCTAGGTTCGAGAAAGTCCGGTTGTAATTGATGAATAAAATAGTGCTTCTGCAGGTAGCCGAGTGTGCCTTGTTTCATAACCTGTGTGTGGGACGGTTCGGAGCGTGTAGGGAAAGGGCACGGTTTAGAGTTCCAGTCGGCAGAATGTTAATAATTTGCGACGATGCGAACCACCAATGATTACCACCGCACGGACTTCCCACGCACGTCCGTGTGGAACTGGCACCGCATACCGCGAGAGATTGGAAAAGTTTTGCGGAGCTGCAGAATGTGATGGCATTCCAGACTGCCCCAACAGTCTGGAAACGCCGTCCCTCTGCACATTCGCAGCATCACCTCCATCGTCTCCTTCAAGAGACACTTACAAATTCACCTCTACAGCCACGCTTTCGAATGACTGAGCTTGACTCACCTAGTGTGTTGGGAGTACGGTCCGCGGAAGAAGATCTCACAAAACTGCCTCTGTGATCGGCGCTTGGCTCTTGTCATTGCAAAGGGGCCACTGCACTTTCCCAAGCAGCCTGCTGTTGGAATCGCAATCGTGTCAACTCATAATGCGCAGCCGCCCATCATCTGCTCGCTCTCGTAGAGAGAGAACGACTCGGGAGGCACGAGGAGGAACCACGGAAGGGCGGGAAGGCAGTCGACCAGCCGGAGGCGCCGGCGCTATCGACAATTGCCCAAGCTCTACGATCCTCTAAAAATGTTTTCAGCCACTTAATGAATGTTTACATGTGGGAGAAAACCCGAACGCCCGGAGTAATCCAACGCGCGCGAGCCGAACACGCGAACCCATGCCGGTGGAACAGGCGGAGGCTACGTTTTGCCGTGCCGCATTGTCCTGGCGAGCCCAGAGTACGACACCACCTCGACACCCGCAGTAAGGGAGTCGCTCAACATCGGTGTACGGTGATCCACCAGCCCAGCTCGCTGCTGCCTCCTGGATTACAGTCAGCCACATGCAGCATGGCCACCACCAACGCCACCTGGCTGATTGTTCATCACGTGGCAGTTCAACTGGTATTTGTTGATCCTGAAGTTCCGGAATTGAGTTAATGTAATTAATTGATGACCAGCCTGAGGTCGTGAACTCGCGTGCCCCGAAGGGCCTGGCTTCATCCAGGTTGAGCACGGGATCCGTGGGGTGCCGGCCCGGCTCCCTGACCTAGAGGCCACAGTGGTGAGATGTTAACTAACTCACCTGGTATGCAGGAGGTCGTGGGTTTGATTCCGACCCTGACATCTCCTGCTGTATATTTGCAGCTTGCTTGTCTCTCCCCATGGTCGTGTGGATTTTTCTCCGGGTCGTCCGGTTTTTCTCTTTACATTTAGAATCAACATACATGTTGATAATATTTGGCTGATATAAATTTCCACGTGATAAGCCACCTCACTGGGCTATCATATGTGGTCAGGTTGCTTCTGCAAAAAAGTTGCATAGCTCAGTGGGCCTTACCTGGGAAAGTAAAATAGTTTAGTTTGATTTCGATTTAAAGCTTTCGTGACTGCAGGGATTCGTCTTCTTGGTTCTTTTGGTAAAGTCACGTAAAAGGAAAATAATGAAATAATAAAAATAAAACATAATAAAATAATTCTCATGACGTTTCGGCCACAACGCAAGCAGCCGTCTTCAGGTGGAGAACAGGTCTGTCGAGAAGACAGACTCTGAATGGCTGATGAGCAGACTCTGTCTCCTCGACAGACCTGTTCTCCACCTGAAGACGGCTGCTTGTGTTGTGGCCGAAACGTCGTGAGAATTCTTTTATTATGTTTTATTTTTTTATTATTTTCCTTCTACGTGACTTTACCGAAAGAACCAAGAAGAGTTTAGTTTGAGTTTAGTTTACCTGGACACCAAGCTCGATAACTTTCGCTGTGCGTACAGTGCGGGAGATTATAAAAACAATTATTTTGGGATAAGTTTTTTATTATCTGAAGAAAATAAAGGTAAGGACCACGCCGTACAGTCGGCTACAAGGGAGTTGCTAAATTAAAAAAATGGTCAAATATCGTACAGGCCACGTGACGTGGCAAAGCCAGGCAGTGGTGGTGGTGGTGGGGGCTATGGTGCACGTTGGTCTGCAATCCAGCACTGTGGAGGAAACGCCCTTCCCGTGCGCATTGAGTTTCCATACCCTGGCTCCGGGTGCTTCGGTTTCCTTCCACGTGTAGAAACTCATTAATTGTCTGAAAACATCTTAACATACAGAGGACCAACAGAGCTTGGGCAGTTGTTAGCGATGACTCCCCACCAGGCTGCTGCCGTTCCCGCTCGTGTCCGTGGCCCCTGCTCCCACCTCTCGAGCCCTCCTCTCTCTCGGAGAGCGAACGTCGGGCGGCGGCGTAGCGTAGTCACGGCTATCGGGACATTGCGAGTTAACATGTGACACAAGCGCTCGGGCGTGCTGTGGAAGTTGGCCGTGTCCGCTCTAAAAGGCCGGACGGCCTTGTGGTGCCGCCCGTTTGCGCTCAGCGGTGCCGGGCGGCGAGGATGGGGAACTCGCTGTGGACGCGGCCGCCTGACACGGCGGAGGGCGAGTACGTGCGGGACACGGTGGCCTCCAACTGCGTCGTCATCTTCTCCAAGACCGCGTGCCCCTACTGCACCATGGCCAAGCGCGCCTTCGACGAGATCGGCGCGCGCTACCTCGCCGTGGAGCTGGACCGGCGCGCCGATGGCCGCGCCCTGCAGCAAGCGCTGGCGCTGGCCACGGGCGCTCGCACCGTGCCGCAGGTCTTCGTCAACGGGCGCTGCATCGGGGGCGGCACGGAGACGCAGCGCCTGAGCCAGCAAGGCCGGCTCGCCGCGCTTGTCGCCAAGTGCCAGCTCCCCGGCGCCGCCGAGGCAGCCGGGGCGGAGCGCTAGCGTCCACGACTGGCGGAGCGCTAGCGTCCACAACTGGCGGAGCGCCAGCGTCTGGTTACCGGCATCCGCGGGGGGCAGCCACAGCGTGATGCTGGCGTTCCTGGAAACCCAACCCCCCCCTCCCCCCGCAGCTTCTTAACAGCCGGACGTTGTCCGTCCTTAACTGTCATTTTTTTCCTCCCGATTGATATCCCGATTGCGCTGTTGGCGTGGCGTCGCCACGAGATGAAGTGTCCACTGGATCACTCGCAGTGCGGTGGCGACCCGATGGTCGTCTTGCAGAATGGCCCGCGGGAAGCGGATGTCGCAGAGCTACCTCCGAGATCCCTTCGCGCGGGAGAGGGCAGCGCTCGCTCCGTACGAGCCGCGTGCCGTGTTAAGCAGCGTTCGCTCGTCGTAGGCTTGCAGTTGATCTACGCTTGGAGAGGATCGTCCTTTGTTTATGCGCATTGTGCATTGTACGCGCAACGTTTCAGGTTACACGTTCATATTCATGGTTTGCTTTTGTTCACGTATGAATAGAGACAATTCTGCATTGTGCGCCATTTAGATTTGATTCGGAGATCTGATTAGTGGATTTACCCAAACAATATCACTTTCCCGGGCGCAAATCATTACGACGGTCATGGTGTCAACCTTATACACGTGCATTCGTAATTCGAGGCTGTGCGGTGCAGTAATCGGCGTTGGTTTCACCGTTCTCTGGCGTACGCGGTGAATTATTACCCGCCAGCGGTGCGTGTTAGGCCTGTCACAGTTCCACCCACCTTGCCCCACGCAATTCAACGCATCACCACAATTCATGGGTCGACCCTTCGATTCTCCAATCTAATCAAATTATTGAGCGTCGGCGAGATGGTGAAGTGGCTGCGGCGGGGGAGGGGGTCACTTGAACCAAACCAGAAACGCAAAGACAATAGCCGCCTTTCACTCGCACGGTTTGGTGCGTGTAACCACGAGCCAAACAATGCCCTTTTAATCGCTCCGTTGTTTTGCGTGCGGCCCGGGTCTCGTTGCCAGCGCCGCCCCAGGCTGCCACGTCTATTTGCTGTTGGGGAAACGAAGGGTGGGTTGGGGAACAATTGGGAACAGACCGGTGCCAACTCTCGTAACAACACGCCCGACAGCTGCCACGCATGCATTTAACAAGTTTGGTAGAGCCGGTAAATGTTGTTTAAACAGTGTAGTACACGCTGTTCACTCAAACAGCAGAAACCGATTGTTTGTATCTCAGTATATCTAAATCATCTCAAGCCTCCCCGAGATCACGTGACTTCTGTGTGGCCACCCCCGCTCTGAACCCTTCCCCTCTCCCCTCCCCCTGTGAGAACAGACGCCGCTCCGTGCAGCTCACGTGTGCTCGCTCCTCTCTTCCCTCTCATCATCTCATCCCCGACATCTTGGCCCAGTCATTCCTCTTCTTATTCCTGTACGGCGTTCCTTTGGCTCCTGATTCTCCGTTCCTTGTTTTCTTATTTTCCCATTCTTTCCTGTCTCTCTTCCCTCTCCCATCCCCCCCCCCCGACCCCTTGACTCTACTCCTCTCCATACTTTTGTGTGTGCCATGGGTACAATATTTTATTTTAGCACAACTCCAATGCAGCAGTGTGTGTGCAGTGTGGACATGTATGCATGTGTAAACTAATTGCCATTCTAACCGAATGCTTGGAAATGTCGAACTGAGTGAGAGGATCGCACTGAAAGACATAATAATATAATAAAAACGATGGCTGCTTAAATATTGTCCATGTGAATTGAGTTTTTTTTTATTCTTGGCAAGTCAACGCACCCGAGGTGGCGTCGGGAAACATCTGACGCCGCCACCTCTGGGTGTGTCCAGCGGCGAGTGACGATTATGGCGACTTCTTTCCGGGCATGCCTGCTGAAACGCTTCTCAGTCGGCTGCCTGTGCGTTCAGAGCGCAGCAGTTGGAGTGCTGTGCAGAACCACTTCATCTGGACTCGTACGCACCTTCTTCTGGCATATATTTGAACTTTAAACTAAACTATTGTCCTATTTCTATTTTGCCGGGTAAGGCCCCCACCGAGCTATGTAGTTCTTTTTCAGAAGCGACCTGGCCACAAATGATAACCCAACGAAGTGGCTTATCGCGTGGAAATCTATAGCAGCCAAATACTCTAAACGCACGTTTCTAAATGGGGATAAAAAAACCAGAGGACCCGGAGAAAAATCCACGTGACCACAGGAGAGAGAGAGAGAGACGCAAACCCCAAATATAGAGCAGATGTCGTGGTCGGGATCGAAATCCACGACCCCGCCTACCAGGAGAGAGACATCTCACCACCGGGGCGCACCAATCACACTGGTACGCAGGGGTGACGCTTCTCTTCGACGCTCAGATCTTGCCCAACCGCGCCCGCCTTAGCGGAGATCGCTCGCGTCCCACGGATCCGGTTCGTCTCTGCCCACCGAGGGCCACACCTCACACTCCCAGGGTACCTCACTCCCAGGGTACCCCGCTCGAGCCTTCGGCCGTTTGTGATTTGGTTGCCTGGGTCGCCCGGCGACTAGGGCAGCATTCGCACGCGCGCGGCCGATGACGGTGTCCTGAGCCACACTTGTTGGGTCACGTCAAATTGTAGTTGCACATTATTGGCCAAGGCTACAAAGCTGCCGGTAGGTAAGTACGAACACACGCATGCGCACAAAGACGATGCACCCCGTGTAGCCTGCACAGGCTGTTGGGGCAAGTGCTGTTGGAGAGCAGCACCTCTTCCATAGAGCCGATCTTAGTGCTTGCGACTAAACCACGTGACCATATCACTATTTTCCTCCCTGCACTGTCTCTCTGTAAATCACAGAATAGACTTCAAGATTGCTTTTCTCACGTTTTAATGCCTTGAATGAGTTGGCTCCTAATAATCTCACCGATATGGCTTCAGTTTTATAGTCCACTGGCCTTTGGAATCGGTTCCCTGATTCCAAAGGCCAGACTGTTGTTCTATGGGAGAGGGAGATTTTTGCAACCAGGCTCCACGATTGTGGTTGTTAAACTAAACTATTAAAACTACACTTTTATTTTGCCAGGTAAGGCCGACTGAGCTGTATAGCTCTTTCAGAAGTGGCCTGGCCACAATTGATAGCTCAGTGAAGTGGCTTATGTGGAAATGTATAGCAGACAAATACTCTAAACGCGTGATGTTGATTCTAAATGTGGAGGGAAAAACCGCAGGACCAGGAGAAAAATCCACGCGACCACGGGGAGAGAGACACGCAAACTCCAAATATACAGCAGGCATCAGGGTCGAGATCGAACCCACGACCTCCTGTATACCAGGCGAGGGAGTTAACATCTTGACACCTTGACGAGATGTTTGGAAATCTGAGTGTTTCCCTTTTTAAATCGCGTCTTAAAACTCACCGGTTTGTATGCGAGGCTTTCTCTATCACGTAACAAGCTTCATGTCAAGCGCTTCGAGACCTTGTGCGATCTGTGCTGTGATAGAACACCAAGTGTATTACTAAGAGTATTGTGTACACGCGATTCAGAGTATGTATTCATACTGGAGGAATCCGAGCTCTCAAGCTCTTGTTCACAGATGTCCAGGAGATTCCGCTGCAGGCAACCGAGTTGCAGGCAACCGAGTTGCAGGCAACCGAGTTGCAAGCAACCGATCGCTCCGGTGCGGTCGCCACGGCTCCCCCGTCCCTGCCCCGTTGCTCACTACGGCGACTGCGCGTGTCCCCGCAGTGGCGGTGCCGGCGGTGATGGTGGAGCCCGGCGAGGAGGCCATGCGGCAACTCTTCAAGTTCTACCGCCGGCGCCGCCCACCGCCCGACCTGGGCGGCGTGCTGGACCTGCGCGAGGCTGCACGGCACCCGGACACGGTGAGGGCCCCCCCCACCCTCCCCACCCACGCCGGACCCCCGGTATTTATGGTAACACGAAAAACAATGTTGTTGTTATGCAGTCTATTCTTAGTCTTAAGCCTCACCTTACCATATTAATAAAAAGTGTGCCGTTCCTGGCCCTTCCCCCCTCAACCATTATATATACGGAGTGGTATATCTTGTAATCTCTCATTCACTTGATACAGCTGTCGTGGCTGTGACGGTTCCACCTGAAGACGGAAGCTTGTGTTGCCTCCGAAACGTGATTTTTTAATTTATTTTACTTTTATTAATTTAAATTTTTTACCTACGTGACTTTACCGATAAAACCTAAGAATATGAATCCTTGCAGTCACGAAAGCTTCAAATCTAGAAACAATGTCGACACAGATGGGTGATGAACACACTTGCTGTTCTGCCCCCATCTCCTGGCCACTCCAATGGGTTTGTACAGTATGTTTGTAGAACTTCTTTTGCATCATCCGGAGCCAACCGTGCTCATCGGAGGTGTGGGGGAAGGACAACAAACTTAACAAAAAGCAGTTCTCAAGAAATACGTTTTCTAGATTTTAAAATGCATAGCTCCAGTGGCTTCCTGATATCAGAGGGAAGAGCATTCCAGACGGCCACAGAAGCGCATCTGAAAGCGCGCGATCCAGTGACCGTCTTTGTTTGATGGCCAGCCAAACGCTGCCGCTGCTGCTGCTGCTGCTGCTGCTGCTGCTGCTGCGAGGATGACCGGAGTTCGCGTGATTATGGTTTATGGTCCTTGACGAGATCGGCAAGGGATTGTGGTTCATGCGTTATAAAGCATTCGTTCAGCAACCGGAAGCCAATGCAGCTCGGCGAGGACTGGACGGACACGGTCGGATCCTGCGGCGCTCGTCACGACACGTGCCAGACTATTTTGTGAACGCTGCAGCTTGGGAATGGTTTTGCCAGATGTCCCGTAGAGTAGCGAATTGCAATACTGTCGATACCATGCTCCACGCAACCGTGTTGGCTGTGTCACTACTCGATAGTGGTCGAATGTTGTCGTGGAGCCCTGATATCAAGGATTAAACAATTCTGTAAACCACTCCCCTGAACCCCCAACCCCCTCCTGGACCCTGAGGAGGGAGCAGGGAGAGAGATTTTCTGTAACCCGGCCAGCAAGTCCGGTTAAGCCCCGAGTTTCACACGGGACCGCGACCCGTCCTGGCAGGATCTGCCGCTCGTTGGTCCAGACCTCCAGGGAATCGGTCGGACGTGGATCGACGTCCCGGTCACGGTTACTGCCAGTTGTGTAATAATTCACCAACGCTGGCCAGCTGGCTCAAAATCGTAACAAAGTCATAACTAAGACGACGCACTTGCACCTGACTCCCCCCCCCCCCCCCCCCCCGCTTAACCGTTCCGGTGCTGTGAGCCGTTCTGCTAACCCCGTAACCCCGCAGTCTCTCATGGCAACAGGAGTCTCACCGTGCGTCCCGTGCGTGCCTGGACGCTGCCCCAGGTTTACCGCGCCCGGCTGGAGGCGTCGGGACTCGACGGTGAGGCCCAGCGAGTGGGCCTGCAGCCTGTGTCGCAGTGGAGAGCCTACGGCCTCAACGGATACCCCGGTACGGGGCCGTGGGGGGCATGGGGGGAGCGGCCACGGGAGGTGCCACGGGGGAGGGGGAAGATGGGGGGGGGGGAAGGCATGGACGGGGGTAAAGACAAACCAATTGGTATATTTCCCTAGGTGACAACTTGATTTGGTTCATTGTCGGGTGGTGGAGGGTTATCGTTGAAGAAACATCATCGTACCCGCACGGCGATCTAGCCCGCAAAGAAACCCATTACGAATGTTCATGCTGAAAGTGGATCGCCTGCGTTTGGGGACTATGCAGATAAGCACGGCATTGTTACAAACGGAGCCGAGGGCGTGACACGTGACCCCGCAGGTTTCATCTTCATCGTAAACCCCTTCCTGCCGAGCGGCCAGCGCTTCTGGGTGCGCCAGTGCCTCAAGCTGTACCCGCAGAAGCCCAACGTGTGCAACCTGGACGCCCACGATCCGCAGCGCGACGACGTGTGGGCCTCAGGCATAAGGTGAGGGAGCTCCCCACAAAAATAAACGAAAGATACCCCGTGTAGCAGCTACGGCCAAACCGGCGTGACCACGGGAGGGGGGGGGGGGGGGTCACGTTCCTCGCGGGGTCACTCGGTGGAGGAGCTGCGATTGGGCACCACGTGGCCGGGCGATCGTTCCGTTCTGTTCCCCCAGGGCCGGCAAGGGCCCACGGGAGCCACGGAGCCTCTTGGAGAAGCTGCGCTGGGTCACACTGGGGTACCACTACAACTGGGATACCAAGGTGGGCCGCAGCCTCCCCACTCACTCGCTCCCACTCACTTCAATGAGTGATCCGCTCGCTCGCTCCCACTCACTGCCACTTGCTCCAGTAGAGAGTGAAAGCGCGGTATTGCCGAGCCTCTGATAATGTGAGCACAATGAGTGCTGTGGTGTGTGCATGCGTGTGTACAGTGTGTGTGTGTGTGCAGTGTCCGCTGCTGTGTGTATGTGAACTTCTATTCCCGGCCACGGCTAAACATCGGTGGTGCGATATCCGAAACGGATCATGGGCTCCCGCTTCACAAACCTACGCTGACCAAGTGCGATGGTTTATGCTACTTTACGGGGTCAGCGAGGTATCGTGGTTCATTTGTGGCAAGCACTTTGTGTGAAATGAGTGCGACCTTATAACGTGTTTGTTCGGCAACCGGAAGCCAATGTCACTCGACGAGCACTGGACAGACATGAAGGGCAACTGATAGCGTGCGATGCATGCTTGTGTGTGTGTCTGGTGTGTGTGTGTGGTGCGTGTGTGTGGTGTGTGTGTGGTGTGTGTATGCGGTGTGGGTGTGGTGTGTTGTGTGTGTGTGCGCGGTGTGTGTGTGTGGTGTGTTGTGTGTGGCGCTGGTGTGGTGTGTTGTGTGTGTGGTGTGGTGCGTGTGTGTGTGTGTGGTGCGTGCGTTGTGAGCAGCGCTACTCTGCGCACCACCGCTCGAGTCTCCCCGTGGAGGTCTCCGGCGTGGCCGGGATCCTCGCCGCCGCCTGCGGCTTCCCCACGTTCTGTGCCGAGGCGGCCATCTTGAACTTCTACCGTGCCGACTCGGCCCTGGGGCCTCACGTGGACGAGTCGGAACTGGACCTCAGCCAGCCGCTCGTCTCCTTCAGGCAAGCGCCTCACCCGTGCGCCCATTCATTTACCGTCACACGCTCACTCGGACGTTCATTTCCTCACCCATTCACTCGCTCGCTCGCTCACAGGCCCACTCACTCGCATCCTCGCTGTGGTTGTCCCCACCTGATGACGGACGCTTGTGTTGCGCCCGAAACGTCGTGATTTAATTTAGTTATTTTTATTTTCACCTATGTGACTTTACCGAAAGAACCAAAGAGTATGAGTACTCGCATCCTCGCTCACCTCTCACTCATACACTGTGTTGTGTTCACCGCGGTGTTTGTGCCGTGCGTGGTTATCACCGTGGTGTTCGTAACGCGTGCGGTTATCACCGCGTGGTGTTCACCGTGGTGTTTGTGCCGCGCGTAGTTTTGGCTGCTCCGCGGTGTTCCTGCTCGGAGGGCTGCGGCGCGAAGACCTGGCGCTGCCGCTCTTCATGCACAGCGGTGACGTCATGGTGATGTCGGGGGAGTCGCGGCTGCGCTACCACGCCGTGCCACGCATCCTCGACTCGGGCGGCGCACTCCCGGAGTGCCTGCGGGAGCCCTCGTGCCCACGGGAAGCCGCGAGGGACCACGCGGAGCCGGATCCCTCGAGCCGGGGCGACGCCGGGGCGAGTGCCGCGGAGCCGGACGCCGTGAGCGCCGCCGACTGGGAGGTGTGCGCGCGCTACCTGCGCGAGTCGCGCGTCAACGTGACGGTGCGGCAGGTGGCCGCCCCCGGGGAAGCCGTGCCCAACACGGAGCCGCCACCCCACCAGGACGCCGCTGCCATCGTCACCCAGCAGGGCGGCTACAGCGACGGTGATGCTCACAACCACGATGAAGAGGGCCACCGCCATAGTAAAGAAGACACGGGATAGCCGTGCGGGATTATGGGAACGGGGGATTATGGGAGCGGAGAACATATCGATGCACGCGTTTGGGCGTAACGGCCGAGGCTGCAAGGAAGTCCGGGCAGCGCTGTGCCGTGTGCTTCCCGCGGGAGAGTTTGTCGACAGCTTCCTGCCCACTTGCTCGCGACCCCTTGACCTCTCTCTGACATGCCCACGAGATCATGAGACCCGTGCCACGGGGGTTGACGTCGATGCCGCATTTGTTCGTGTGGGAGACCAGCAGCAGCACCAGAGAGAAACGTTCAAGTGGTAATAATTACGTTCACTGCCCAGGGATGTTTTGCCACAATACATCATCGGTTGTTACGCGTTACTTTTAAACGTGCGTCTTATCTTTAAAGAGCCAATTCCTGTGCAGCAATCGAATGAACTGTGACATTTTAAGGAAATAAAGGATTTGTTCAATGGTTAACACCGTTCCCCGGAGGGTGTTCTCTGAAGCCTGCGCGTCCCAGTGAGAGCCGTTCATCGACCGAGCTCCGCTGTTGATTTTGTCCGCCAAGTCTTTAAAACAAAAACATATTTTACCAGCTAAGGCCCACTGAGCTGCATAGCTCTTTTTCAGAAGCAACCTGTGACCACAAATGACTTGTGGGATTTTATAGCAGCCAAATACTCTACACGCATGTCGATTCTAAATGTTGGGGGGGAAACCGGAGGGACCAGAGAAAAATCCACGCGACCACGGCGAGAACATCCAAATATACAGGCATCAGGGTCAGAATCGAACCCACGACCTCCTGTATACCAGGCAAGGTAGTTAACATCGCCACCGTGGCACCCAAGTCAAACATGCCATCGGCCAGAGTTGGGATCCCATTTTTGAGGAGTTCCCAACTCAGACGTCAGTGCTGCACCGGATAGAAATCGGAGTAAAGCAGCAGTCAGGGCGAATGATGATCCAGCACACTCGCCAATTCACTCTGGTCGCTCACTGGCGGTCAGTCACCTCCTCATCGCTCTTATATCGCTGCTACCATGGTGACCGTTCCCGTGAACTTCACTTATCGATTTCGCCACCCATGCCGAGGTCTGACAGACAGACCATCTCGTCTGATCCACACAGCGTTCAACCAACACCGCACTGCAGGTCACAACAAAGATAAAGACCCCCCCCCCCCCCCCGTAGGGAAGAGAGGGTAGGTGGCCAGCACCACACCTGGCCACCTTCCCAGTACTGATGTCTACACACCGCACCGGGTTACTCATCCTAGCAGAGGGCTCAGAACCGGTTCAAATATTCGTCGCCCAGTGTTGGTCGTGAGCGGGAATTGAAGTTTGCGTAGCTTTGCTATTCCGCTGTTGAAGGAGCTTCGGCTGCTATCAGCAAGGGTTGTTATCATTCATCCTGTAGACACAATGTTGTATTTGCAAGCAAAACAATAAACTTTGTCAAGGGGTGTTTTTTTTTAATAGTATATTTATATAAAGACCTCAAAGAACAAAATAGCAATGTCTAGCCTTGTACTGTTAAGTAAAACGTTAACTTCAAAGCTAGCAACGGCAACATGATTGTAAAACAATAAGACGTCAACATTCTAGAAAAACAAAAAATGTCATGAACACGTCCAGAAGCTCGGTTTTCGTACTGCGATCCCATACTCTGCTTTGAACATCACAATTCGGAATCCCATGAACAGTTTATTGGCAAGATACTGGGTCCAAATACAAGATACATTTTAAAAGTAAAACTCTTCATTCAAAAGTTTTGTATATAGCATCGTCGTTCATGCAAAGTGAATCTCACAATCCCAGCAGGCGGTGAGCCGGCACTGCCGACAATTGCCCACGCTCTGCGCTCCTCTATACATTAAGATGTTTTTCGACCAATTAACGAGTGTTTACACGTGTGGGAGGAAACCGAAGCGCCCGGAGAAAATGCAGCGTGCGAAGGTGCACCGCTATCCAATACAGACGAGACTGATGGAGATTAGTCCACACTTGCTGTACTGCCTTCTCCTGGCGCGCCAGGGTACGGAGCTCCTCGACGCCCACAGAAATGCGTCATTTGTGCGGCGATCCACCAACCCTCGCTGCTGCCGCTGCTGCCCGCAAGGCGCTGGTTGACGGGCAGCCACGTGGAGCAGCAGCAGCGGAGCCGTCGCCGCCACCCGACAATGGAGCTGCGCTTACGAATCAACGGGCGCGACCGCCCCATGTTGCCGGAGGCAGCGTTCACAGGATGACGGGGGGAATGGAGAGCGCTGCTCTCTCTGTGTGCGCTCCGCCAGGCGTACATCGCGGCCGACCCCTCCCGGCACGCGGTGCCAAAACCCCAGCACGCTTCGGGATGGAGGCAAATGTAACCAAAATGTCGCGTTGAGCTCAACGCCTTCGGGAGAACCAGATTAGAGTACAGTATTGCCTCGTTATTCACAAACTGGCGATCGTCTGGAACTTTACGCGACTACTGCATCGAGAGAGACGGAGAAAGTTACGAGAGAGAATGTAATGCGTTTTAGAGTATTTGACTGATATAAATTTCCACGCGGTAAGCCCACTTCGTTGAGCTATCATTTGTGGCCAGGTCGCTTCTGAAAAAGAGCTACATTGCTCAGTGGGCCTTACCTGGTAAAATTAAATTTTGTTTAGTTTTAGTTTAGATGCAAGAAAGTGGTGAGATCATCGTTACTGCATCAATTTCAGGTAAGTTAATTCATAAACCATTATTTAATCGTTAAATATTTACTTTTATTTACGTTAACTTTATTAAAACCCATTTTGTGTTAGGATGTTCACGTCTTTAATAGATTATTTATTAAGGGTCATTCATTAAAAAGAGGTTTTCGTAGGCCAATAATATCTGCGAAATTTGCTATTCACGAGCGAATAACGAGGCCACACTGTACTTGTGTTTACATCTGGTTTGCCGCAGGTGGTGGCCGACACGCTCCGACTCGCAACCATCCAACAACCCCATCCTGTGCCCGACACGCCACAGAAACTTTGCACCAATCGGTGTCTTGACAATTGAGCAGCGCCCCCAGCGCTGGGTGGGGGGGTGGGCCCCACCTCTCCCAGATGGAGTTCAGTGGTTGCTGGTCGGAGCGTGTTGGCGACCGGCGTACGCGTATGACGGTGGCCAACAGCCGACAGTCGCGCTGGCGAATTAATGAGAACGTTCACATCGGACAGCGCAGCACTCGGCGGGAGGAGCAGTGGGGGAGGGGATGCCCTGCTGGTGTCATTTGAAGGGGGGGGGGAGCCGACATCAAATTTGTATTCAACTCCAGCCAACGAATCACGAGGCTGCTCTCCCACAAATGCTCCCCAGATATTGAGCGTCGCCTGGCAGCGGTGAGCTCCTTCCCGGCGTAAACACTGCCAGGTGGCGGCCCAAGCGAGATGTATTTATTTATTCTGTCGAGTGAGAGAGAGAGAGGTGAGATCGATCTTCCCAAAGCGCGTTGGAATTCACTCGGCGGCAAATTTCCTCACCGCGGGTGACCGGATTGTCGATCAACGATAGCAACGGGCACGACCGCCGGGGTGTTTAAAACGTCCGATTCACGTCGGACTGGCGGGGCGAGCAAGTCGGCAGTGTTGTACGAGGGGGGGGGGGGGTGTTAGCGAGCAACCGTGGGGATTTCCCTCCTCCCGTGCGTGCCCCCTTGGTGGCTTTGCAGTGCCGGTGCCACGACGCAGCCACCGAGGGTCGCCTGGCCCTACGTCCGACACACAGCTCACCCCCCCCTCGTTGACCATTCACCCCCCCCTCCCCCCCAGTCCCACGCGAACGCGCTTCACTCGTACCGTGTCCTTGCACATACAGACAATACGTAGTCGCGCGTCGTCACATTCACCAATTAGCACGCCTGAGCGTCGTCTTCGCCTTTGGTGTCAATTTTTGCAGCATAAAGCCCAATTGTCGCAATTTCATTCAAACTCACTTTATTTTTTTGTTACCTTGCATAGGTCATAGGTCATAGGCCATGATAGGACGCACGGGTCATACCCTCCGCAAACATCAAAATTCTCGACGCAATTTCATTCCCAGGATTTCCACTTTTACAACCGATTTTCACGACACGTTTCCCTCTCCCCGTCGTTGATTGTAATATTTACCGGGGTGGTTATATATATATATAAACATTGCCATAAAATGCAGAAAAAAAACACACGTAACAAGCCGACCGACGGGCCGGTCCCACAGAACTCCCGAGCTGGGAAAAAGTGGCGACTCTTCTCCGCTCGTCGTATTGTACACGTTCGTCCGCTGGAGAAAGCTTGCAAAGCACGTTTCTGAATGCTGCTGTTCTACGATGAGAGGAATGCTCCCCAGTAAGTGTTCTGACCCAACTCCGACCCTCCCCCAGTGCGCCTGCCCCACAGGGGACCAAGGACGCCTACTAAACGTACTGTGACCGCGGTGATGCGCGTGCGGGTGATGTGTGTGTGATGTCTGTGGGAGCGCTGTCTGAGTGTGTCCTGCGATAGGGAGTGCAGTGTAAGTGGGCGCGTACATGATGAGTTTGCATGTGTACGTGTGTGAATTGTGCTCGTACAATGTGTGTCCAGTGGTAGAGTGCAGTGCGTGTGACATATCTTTGTGTCGGGTGTGGATTGTGTGCCATGTGTGTGTGCGACGTGCTTGTGTGCCATGTGTGTGTTTGGCGTGCTTGTGCGCCATTGTGGTGCGAGATCTGCAGTAGATTGGCAAGCGTGGCGTGTGCATTGCTGTGACGCAGCACGGCAAGATGCGTGCCACGGTGCACCACGGCATGCCACGGTGTGCCATGATGTGTCACGGCGTGCCACAGTGTACCAGTGTGCTACAGCGTGCCACGGTGCGTGCCACGGTGCGTGCCACGAGCTGCGAGCGGCTCGGCGACTGCGGTGCCCGAGCGCGGCGTGGGCCAGCACTGCTAAGGGTGGCATTTACCGTGCCACAGCGTGCGGCAGGAGGAGCGTGCGGCGTGTTACGCGTGCAACGTAGCGAGCTGTAAAGCGCGTGGATTGCGGGGAGCGTGCGGAGGACATGCCTTTGGCGCACCACGTGCGCTGTGGTGCGTGTGGCTCTCGCGGTCGCCTGCATGCGGTGCAGGTTGCGGTTGTATCGTTGGTTGTTGCAGCGGTGTGTGTGCGCGTGGGTGCATGTGCGTGCGTGTGGGTGCATGTGCGTGCGCGTGGGTGCATGTGCGTGCCTGGCGCAGCAGTTGTGGTGTCTGCGGCGCAGCGCGTCACACCTTCTTCATGCCGCGCCCCATGAGGCAGGCGAACATGGTCATCACCATCTTGGGCTTCACCTCCACGAGGTCGTCGGGCAGCGCGTAAACGCGCGCGCCGATCTTGCGCGCCATCGAGATGGCGTACCTGCCGGGCGAGTCACGCGCGTGCCCCCCACCATTGCAGTTAGAACTTCCACGTCACCATGACAGGGGCCGGGCACTCCACAGGACAAACTCTGCTGACTGACCGCAAGGCGGTAACTTCGCTGTCTTATCGACCCTGCGGGGACTACGGGCCGAGTCGACCCCCATCTGGGACTGAACTTGTGCCCTTGAGGTTCCGAGTAAAGTGTGCACGCTTGCGCAGCGTCACCACCGCAGCGTCACCACCGCAGCGTCACCACCGCAGCTCAGAGAGGACTGGGGTGGGGGGGGCTGCTTCCACAATGGAGACGCTGATAGTGGCAAAGCGCCACAGGCTCAACACCGTTCGGCGGTGGGGGACGGGGAGGGGGGAATGGGAGGGGGAGCGGTGGTTTAGCGGTTAGTGCTATGCTGCATTACGAACCTAGCGATCCAAGTTCGATTCCCGCTCATGGCCAACACCAGTGACGATTATATGAACCGCTCCTGGGCCTCCCCTAGGTCGACTCGGCCTCATGAGTACCTGGTGCGATGTGTAAACATCGTCACTAGGAAGACAAAGGCGGCCGGGCGTGGTACTGACAACCCATCCCCTCGTGTCCTGTGCCGGACTTCATCGGTGCTCGCTAACAGCACTTGCCCCAACAGTCTGTTACAGGCTATACGAGGGGGGGAATCTTTGTCTTTGGGATGACATGGGGGGGGAGGGGGGTGGATGCAAGCGAGGCTCACTTGGCGTTGTCGAGCCGGTCGTCGTCGGTCAAGGGCTGCTCCTTGACGAGGTCGTAGCGGATGGAGCCCGGCTGGATGGCGTCGATGAGGTCCAGCACGGGCTGGCTGGAGCTGATGTTCTTGTCCTGCCGCAGGGAAGAGCCAACCACTTACAGCGCTCGCCGAGGCCAGCAGAGCGGCGCGCATAGCGGCAGCAGCGGCAACAACGGTCGCTGTGAGCCGAGCGTTGCAACTGTTGAGAACTCTCGTGAACTCTCGTGGCCCACGCAGCCACGCACGTCCTGCCTCGTCACGAGAGGCGCTCGCACGTCGTGTTCACGTGTCCCTGTCTCCCTCCGAGGTGCCTGCACCGCTCGATTCATTTTGGCCAACACCACACCTGACCCCCTTTGCTTCCCCAATGCTGATGTTTACACACCGCACGAGGCGCTCATGTAAGGCTGAGTCGACCAAGGGGAGAGACCCAGATCAGTTCAGATATCACGTGATGTTGGCCGTGAGTGGCAATCAAATTCGGGTGACCGGATTAGCAAAGAGATACGCTAACCGCTGGACCAGTGTTCTCCCCACACCACAGCCACCCAACGTGCACACACACACACAAGCAGACACAGCTCCCCATGTCCGTGTGTCACAACTGGTCGTGGACTCTCAGTGAAAGATGTGTATGAGGTCCGGTCTGAAGAGAGGTCAAGAGGTCAAGAGATCGAGGTCGAAAGGTTGAAAGGATGAGAGGGCGAGAGGATGTCGAGAGGGCGAGAGGGCGGCACCTTGAAGCTGGCGATGGAGGAGCTCTTCCCGGCGTCGCGAAGCGTGTGGTTCACCCAGTTCACGATGATCTCATCGTTAACCTTCTCTCCCTCACCCAGGTCCTCCAGGACTTGAATCGTGTACCTGCGAGCACACACAGTAATTGTTTCCCCCATCAGCCGTGGCGTGCGTTGAGGTCAGCTGATGGTGCTCTGCATCGCATTCCAAGGGTCGGGCTCAGGAAGAAAGGAGAGGTTTGGCTTTGGGGTTTGGGCTCCGTTGGGTGGCAAAGGGTTTCACGCCATAAATGTGGTCCTCCAATTCAAAATAATCGTTTAGTTGTGGAGAATAAAAATAACTAAATATATCAGCAGGCAATGTGTCTCCACATATTCGTCACCATCATTGATTCAAGCAAACCGGACTCTGTTGATGAGACACTGTGTCAAAACCGGTCCAGAGTGTCTTGAATCAAAGCTGCTGACGTTACACACTCCCAGAAGGCAGTGCGGGGCCAATGGGTTGCGTAAGAAATACAAATAGTCCCCGAGTTACGACGGCCCTACTTACGATATTTTAATCTTACGATGGCGATAGCGATACGACAAAATTGTATGTATGATACGCAGCTTTAGCGATTTCATTTTATGGTTACCACGATACGATATGTTCAATGCATTTTAAAAGTTTTTATAGCAGATAGGATTGTTTCCTGAAATAACTTTCTATTAAATTGCAGTTCATACTTTACATTTTACTGTACAATACAATATTGTAATTAATAAATACATACAGTATATAGTTTATACAGTACGGTACTGTAAATTGCTCTGTTTTGCTAAATTATCACCATTCTTTAAGACTCCTGGATAGGCGAGGCCATCTTCGACTTACGATATTTTCGACTTACGATGGGGTCGTCGTAACACATCTCCATCGTAAGCAGAGGACAGTCCTTTTGCTTTTTATGCGGAGAGACGGATAGCTAAAGGAGACGTACTGTCTACCTATATATTTGGTCAGAACATTAAGTGGCCTAACTCAAACATTAATTACGAATCAACCTTTACAGAGTTCAATGGGGTACTGCGGTGGCAAGTTGTTATCTGTCTTGCCTGCTACGCAGGAGGTCGTAGGTTCGATCCCAGACCCTGACAATGCTCGTTATATATTTGGAGTCCGCGTGGATTGTTCTCCGGGTTCCGCCCCACTCCACATTTACAAACAACACGCGGCATTTAGATAATTTGGCTATGACTCTAAATTCCCACGTTTGATGATGTGTGATGATGTGTGGCCAGGTCGCCTCTGAAAAAGACCTCATAGTTCAGTGAGCGACACACCTGGTAAAATAAAAAGTTTTGCTAAGGCCCACTGAGCTATAGAGCTATTTTTAAGAAGCGACCTGGCCACAAATGATAGCTCAATAAAGTGGCTTATCAAGTGGAGTCAAATACTCTACATGCGTGTTGATCCTAAATGTGGAGGGGAAAACCGAAGGACCCGGAAAAAACTCCACGCGACCACCACGGGGAGAGAGGCACGCAAACTCCAAATATACAGCAGGCATCGTCAGCGTCGGGATCGACCCCAAGACCGACTGCATACCAGGCGAGGTGGTTTAGTTTACAAGCTTGGGTCTTCTCGCGCTGACGATGACGCGATTCCTAGCGCCGGGCCCCGTGGACAGTGGTGGCGCAGGGAGGGGCGGCACTCACTTGCGCATGAGCTGCCACACGAGCGCCAGCGTGAGCGTCGGGTTGCCATCGTTGAGGTCCTGGCCGCCGATCCCCACCAGGGAGAACTTGGTCGTCTTGCCCAGCTCCACGGCGTAGTTGCAGTTCTCCAGCTGGAAGGCAGCGCCACACCGCGTCACCAAAGCACAATGCTCATCCGCACACAGCTTGGATGCCACACGGCTCCCACACAGCTCCCCCCTACCACAGACGCACCTCCGTCACCACACACCATTCGCTACAAGTGCCGCCCCCCCCTCCATACATCGTCATCGCGACCACGAACACCGCCGGTGGGCGAGGGCGCTGTGGTTCTCGGTGGCACAGTGCCGTTCTCGCTCCAACCATGCGTTCCGTGCTCCCTGGAGCACGAACCCCTCCCCCCGACGTGCGGAGCACCTCTTGACCGCCTCAACGAAATGTCCGTCCATTATCGGCTTAATCGCACGTGCCGAGAATGCACGCGTCGAACTGCGCACGTGTGATCGGATTACGTGCGAGTTATCTGCACGATCTGCAAATGACAGGGCGACGTCACATCTCGGCTAACGATGGAGGTCGCGCAACAACTCTGCCAGCGGGATAGAAGTAACGAGAATACAAAACGAGCCGAAAGCCGACCGATTCTTGAACAGAATAGCAAACCGCGAATCGCAACGATGCAGGGAACAGCTGGGAGGTGAGGGGGGCGGCTGAATCGTGACCTACGCCGAGTAACCGTACCGCCCGCCCGCCCGCCCGCTCGCCATCTCACGCGCGTGTCGCTTCACCTTCTTCATGTTGGCGCCCAGCTTGGGGTACGGAGGCTTGTTCACTTTGTTCCAGTCCACTCGCGTTTTGATTTTCTCGAACAGCTGGATGATCACGAGCGCATCGACGAGGTCGCTGCACGAGGAGGAGACGCACAGACACACACACGCACACTCCATTAACTAAATATTTAACGATTAAATAATAGTTTAGTAATGAACTTACCTAAAATTATGATGCTGCGAGGTAGAAGGATTCAGTAACGATGATCTCATCACTTTCTCGCATCTAAACTAAAACTGATTTTTTTTTATTTTACCAGGTAAGGCCCATTGAGTCATGTAGTTTTTTTCAGAAGCCTGGCCACAAGTGATAACGCAAGGAAGTGGCTCATCACGTGGAAATGTACAGCGGCCAAATACTCTGAACGCGTGATGTTGATTAGAAACGTGGAGGGAAAAACCGAAGGATTCGGAGAAAATTCCACGTGACCACAGGGAGAGAGACACGCAAACTCCAAATATACAGGTGTTGAGGTTAGGATCAAACCCACGACCTCCTGCATACCAGGCGAGGTAGTTAACATCTCGCCACCGTGCTCAATCAAGGGTGGTCACATCCTCCCTGGTCACACGCTTGCAAACGAGACGCATCCTGGTCTCTTTGAGTTCCCCCACCTGGTGACACAAACTACGCTGGAAACTTGAACTCACTCACTCCAACCACAATGAGAACACCTGTCGCGGCTGGAACGTACACGTGTAAATATGTGCACATATACGTGCATGTGCCGACTATGGTAGCATGTAAATATATACACGTGTACAGGTTACGGGAAACGAGTTATTTAACATCAACAAACAGCAGCAGAATTGCAATAACAGCGCTCCAATAATTCCGGAATCAATGATATTTGCGAATTGTTCACGGTTCACGACCGTTTCCCGTAATCTACGGCACGCAAATCGCGATCCGTAGTGTGAAGGCTGAACACAAAGCTGCAAGAGCAGAGCTGCAGGAGTAGAGCTGCAGGGAAAATGTGGAGGTGGGATTTGTATTCATGTTATTTTGCTATTTTTTATTTGTTTACATTGCACACGAGGTGTGCCGATGTCAATTTTTACACGCTTTTATTTAACTCACTCTGTTGTTGTCGTATCCTCAAATCTTGTAACTCAATTTTAACCTACTTCCCAATGTGGTATCGACTGCAAACTTGGTATACTTATGTCATACTGATGACAATACTATATTCTATCAAAAAGAAAATGTTACTTTCTTTTTTACATGTTATGTTTCGGCTTGGGCCTAATTGTCTACGCTCAACTGCCGTTGGCTGTAAATCACCACGGCCCCTTAAGTTATGGCAAGCTTTGCGGCCACTTCCTGGAGTCGTGGAGTTCTGCCATTACTCGTACGGTACATTTCATTAAAGCGTGTTTTAAAAAAAGTATTTTTAAATATTACTTATTTGACTATAGAAAAAGGGTTTTGGCTTTTTATGTTGACTTGGATATGAAGCCCAAGAAAAATGCCAAAACCCATTAAACGTCGACCTATCTTGGCAGATTTGCACCATTTGTGTCTTAGAAAAACTCGAGCGCTCGTAATCCGTTAATTTATCCTGGATTAATGGAATCACGCGGCTAATTCCTCCCATAATTCATGGCACACTGCTCCAGCGTAAAAAAATTCTGCTTAATCCGGTCTCCCCACTTCAACGCGGACGATTGGACTTCTGCTGCATGTGTGTGGGTGCAGGCTCGGGGAAACGTGTCCGTATGTGTGTGTGTGAAGGTAGTTCCACATGGGAGGGGGCTTGACTGCCACGATAGAGACATCTCAGTGCCGACCTGCCTACCTGTACAGGTGATTGACGAAGGGGTTCACGCCCAGAGAATTCATCCAATTCCTGAACGTCCGCTCCTCCCGGCTCTCACCTGTCATCACCACAACGATCATCGTCATTATTAACATCATCATTAGCATCGTCATCATCAACAAGTTCATCATCTTCATAATCACTGTCCTCATCATCAATATCATCATCATTGTCATCATCACCATCATCACTGTCAGCATCACCATCATCACTATCATCAGCATTACTGTTATCATCACTGTCATCATCATGTTGTCCTAGGTATCCGGGTGACCGAGAAAGTAAATTGCCTTGTCTCACTAAACCCGCACCACTCATGGTGTGAGTGTAAACCCTTGAATTTGAGGAGTACAGACAATGATCTCAGCATGTTCCTGTGTTGAGTGTCATCAGTGGCTGGCTACTGTCCCCCCGCCGCAGCCTGGCAGGCCCCGGCAACAATTCGCAGCATGCACCTTCCAGCAGGCCCCAGTCGATGTCCTGGTTGGCCGGCTTGTGCAGCGCCGGGTACTTGTTGAAGAGGTTCGCCACGAAGGCCAGGTTCAGCTTGGGGTTTCCGCTCACCACGTCGGCCGGCGTGACGAACTGCCGGCAGCCGAGCTTGTCGGCCTGCACCAGCATGCTCTCGGCGCGGCGAAGCTCATCCTTGTCCTGCGGTGGGTAGCGAGAGACGAGCGCAGCGCAGGGTTGCGAGCGGTTACAGCGGTGATATGACACAGCTAAGCCTTGAGCACCTGTAACCAAGCGTTTGCCGCTCCGAGTGAGTGCTTGTGTACAAGAATGACAGGGTGTCAGAGATCTGTCTCGATCGCAAGACTGGTGCGGGAAAATCCTCATTCGCAAGTCTCAACGGAGCATACATAGATGCTGCTCTGTACAGAAGGGAAATTTGTGTCACTGAAACCACCGGCAGTTTACGATTGCCGGTAGACGACTGCCCGAAAACAGACTGGGTGCATCCCGGTCTTCATTAACACTGCTTCTTGAGTGGGACCCTTTAGCACAAGTTACTGTCAACCGAACTAACCGGGCGAGGGATAACGGAGATACTGCAAGAGCTCTCTCGCTCGGGGATGTCAGAAGCCGCAAAGGTATCGGACCATCTCAGTTCCGTCAAATAATCTAACCATTGGAAAGGGGCTTAATCAACTATGTCTGTTGGTTATCTATAGCCTAGTGGTAGAAATTGCTCGTTGCTATGGCATGCCACAGTTTCTGCTCGGAATGACTTCGACCACCGTGCTGCCACCTCCGTGTAGCGCCGCTTCGTGGGGCGGTGTTCACTCCACCAACACCAGAGGGAACTCTTTGGCCACGTCGACCCCTGTTTAATTGGGGGTAATTCTGGGAGTTAGGATTTCTAGGCGACAAACTAAAATTATTTTTAACTTTACAAGGTAAGGCCCACTGAGCTGTGCAGCTCTTTTTCAGAAGCGACCTGCCCACCAATCATAGCCCAATGATGTGGGCTTATCATGTGTACATTTATAACGGCAAAATCATCTTAACGTGTTTTTCTAAACACCGGCACATGAAGATTCATTAGTCAATATCACTCGAGGTGTTTGATAACAGAGGACATTCAATATGATACATTAGTGGTATCATAACAGTGCAGCAACAAGAGGCACTGGGGATATTCACAGAGGTTGAACAAAAGTTCCTTTGTGAAGGCCCGTACTCCGTACTCGACAGCGGAGCCCGTACTCTAGTTTGGACGAGCGTGAATTTCGAGCGTGAATTTCGAGCGCGTATTTGGCAGACAGTGGTCACATGTATGTATGTTGAACCAAGTGACTTGACGTCATCACAGCGCTTTTGCCGGGCTATGTGCACTTTAAGGCCACGTGAAGTGTCAAGCGCCCACTGGCAGGAGGTCACAGGACAGACCCCAGTGCCATGGGTTGACTGATTGAGATAATAAACAGACAGTTAACATTACAAATCTAGTTAAGGAGAGGGGAGAATATAAACTGCTGATACTAATAATAATTATGTCGACTTGTAACGCACAGTATTCAATCGCTCTCGAAAACAGAAAAGGACTTCAAGGGAGTTCAGAGAAGTGGAAAGGCAGCAGCCGGGGACTCGGCTTGTGCCAACAATTGTCCAAGATCTGCGGTCCTCTCTACATTAAGATGTTTTCAGCCACTTAATGAGTGTTTATATACATGTCAGAGGAAACCAGAGTGCCCACAGAAAACCTAAGCATGTTAGGGGGAAACACTCTATCCCGAGCCACGCCTGACACGCAGGGTGTAGCCTCGACCATCACCGCATCATGCTGTGCATGCAATGCCAACGGGAAATGTATTAAATTCATTTTTTCCCGCACCGAAAAGTTTCCCACTTAGCTTGAAGCAATGTAATTAAACGAAATGAAACGGCAAGGACAGAGAGAACGAGAAGAGAGTCGATGTCTGTAACATGACACATGTGCGTTAAAACGAGCAAGGAAACCAGTCCATTAAGGGAGCCTTAACGCTGTTAGAGGGATTCATAGGCCACATCATTGCATCCAAAGAAGGTGTGTAAGGAGGACAATGCGAGACAGTAACTTAAAACATCGTTTCTTCAACGCCAGCACAATGATTCCATATTAATTCCTGAGTTAGGACACGTGGTAGTTTTAAATATTTTCATTTGTTTAGTTTGTTGTCCTTCCCCCGCATCTCCGATTATCACAGCGGACTACGTACGGTGTGAAAAGAAGTTCAACATAAGGACACGAATTAAATGTTGTGCCACAAGCTTGTCGCTAACACTCCACCAGTCGGACAGGACTGGCACGTTCTGCAAGGGTATTGATTATTAACAGGCGGCAGTAGCCTAAGGGGCTTTTACAGCTGAATTCAACATCAACGCACGGCGGTGGCGTTTCACTCAAACCGCGCTGAGCTTCATCAGGTGGTGAACTCGGCAATGGCAGTGGAGGAGGCTGCTGCATCATGGCTGCACAGTCAGATGCAACACGTGGCAGCTTAATTACATTGACCATGTCGGGTGGAGGAGGGTGCATGGCACACATTTTATCGCATACGAATCGTTTCTCCGGCCAACGGACGTGACCAAACTTTCCTGGGCAAAGCAACGAGTGAGGAGCGAAGTGCTCTCCACAAACATAAAGTCTGAGGTGACACGAGGTGCTGGGATGAAGGGAGGGGAAGGGAGAGGGATAAAGGCAGGGGAATGGGAGGGAGGGGACGGAGGGAGGGGACATAGGGAGGGAGGGAGGGGCTCACATTGAACCCAGAGAAGTCGATGTCCACTCGCGGCTGACCCTCCTTGTCCCCCTTCGGCGCAATCTGGTTGAGCAGGTGGAAGTACGCCCGCGAGTCCTGGGGGTCAAGGGGTCGAGAGATCAAGCGGTGTTGAGTCCCCTAGAAATTTGAATCCGTCTGCTTACATAATGGCGCGCACACACACACACGTGCAAATCCCCACCGGTTGCTAGCACAGTGAAGGAATTGGTGACCACTTAGTGCAGTGCGTATGCAGCATGTGTTTGCGTTTACAAAGTGTGTCTGCATGTGGCGTTGTGTTTTATACGGTGTGTGTTGTGCGTACGTGTACGAGTGTACACGGTGTGTGCACATGCTGTGTATGCCATGTACGCATGCCGTGTATGTGGTGTACAAAATGTTCATGCGCGTGTTATTTGCCCTAACAGTCTGGTAAAGCTATATATACGGGGTTCTTTGTCTTTGTGTATTTGTACGTCGTGTGGGTCCCGTATGTTGAACATTTTCTGCCCGCTTACCAAGGAAATAGGAGGAGAGAGATGACACTAAGGGTGCAGTAGTGTCAAGACAGATGAACAGTGATTCATGTCTGTCACCCGCTCCTGAAGAGATGGCATGGCTGACGAGACATCAATAATTAATAAATGTTTCCCTTAATAGGCTACCTCTGTCGAATGGTGTATGTGTGCGCGCGTGTGTGGGGATGTGCGTGTGTGGGGATGTGCGTGTGTGGGGATGTGCGTGTGTGGGGATGTGCGTGTGTGGGGATGTGCGTGTGTGGGGATGTGCGTGTGTGGGGATGTGCGTGTGGGGGATGTGCGTGTGTGGGGATGTGCGTGTGTGGGGATGTGCGGTGTGGGATGTGCCTGTGTGGGATGTGCGTGTGTGGGGATGTGCGTGTGTGGGGATGTGCGTGTGTGGGGATGTGCGTGTGTGGGGATGTGCGTGTGTGGGGATGTGCGTGTGTGGGGATGTGCGTGTGTGGGGATGTGCGTGTGTGTGGGGATGTGCGTGTGGTGTGGGGGATGTGCGTGTGTGTGGGTGTGGGATGGTGGTGGATGTCGTGTGTGGGGAGGTGCGTGTGTGGGGATGGGCGTGTGTGGGGATGTGCGTGTGTGGGGATGTGCGTGTGTGGGGATGTGCGTGTGTGGGGATGTGCGTGTGTGGGGATGTGCGTGTGTGGGGATGTGCGTGTGTGGGGATGTGCGTGTGTGGGGATGTGCGTGTGTGGGGATGTGCGTGTGTGGGGATGTGCGTGTGTGGGGATGTGCGTGTGTGGGGATGTGCGTGTGTGGGGATGTGCGTGTGTGGGGATGTGCGTGTGTGGGGATGTGCGTGTGTGGGGATGTGCGTGTGTGGGGATGTGCGTGTGTGGGGATGTGCGTGTGTGGGGATGTGCGTGTGTGGGGATGTGCGTGTGTGGGGATGTGCGTGTGTGGGGATGTGCGTGTGTGGGGATGTGCGTGTGTGGGGATGTGCGTGTGTGGGGATGTGCGTGTGTGGGGATGTGCGTGTGTGGGGATGTGCGTGTGTGGGGATGTGCGTGTGTGGGGATGTGCGTGTGTGGGGATGTGCGTGTGTGGGGATGTGCGTGTGTGGGGATGTGCGTGTGTGGGGATGTGCGTGTGTGGGGATGTGCGTGTGTGGGGATGTGCGTGTGTGGGGATGTGCGTGTGTGGGGATGTGCGTGTGTGGGGATGTGCGTGTGTGGGGATGTGCGTGTGTGGGGATGTGCGTGTGTGGGGATGTGCGTGTGTGGGGATGTGTGTGTGTGTGGGAATGGCAGTGTAGCGGTTAGCACACTGCGCTTCGAACCTGGAGACCCGAGTTCGATTCCCGCTCATGGCCAACACCAGTAACGATTATCTGAACCGGTCCTGGGCCACCCCTAGGTCAACTCAGCCTCTAATGTGTACTTGGTGCGGTGTGTAAACAGGCTTGCGTGAACATGCTTCTGGGTGCAAAATTGCACGCTCGGCGTTTGCCAGATATTCCGAGGGGGGGGGGGGGGTGGAGGGCGGCAAAACGCACGCACGCAAGCAAGGGGGACGACAGCCGTGGACAGGGCCAGGACGCCATACCTTGATAGCGTTGCAAAAGTCAGCCACCGTCTGAGCATTAGGAGCCAAACAGAGTCCCCCAGGAAAGCAGCGGAGGGAAATTGGAGAAGAGGTGAGCACAGGAAGGTCCCCGGGCACACATGGTGTAAACAAGAGCGGGAGCACGCACGCGGCAAGAGCCAGCGAACGCTCCGAGAGCCAGCAAGCACGCGGCGAGAGTCAGCGAGCACGCGGCGAGAGCCAGCGAGCGCTCCGAGAGCCAGCGAGCGCCTCTTCCCCCCCCCCCGCCCCGCGCAGGGTTGGTTCCCAGCTGTTTGAGTGAGACGCGAATGAATGGCGTTCATTTTAAGGAGTGTTCACTTTGTACGACCAGTTTATAGTGTAGTTTTAATTATCTCAACACATTCATGAACAACGTTGTGGGCCTTAAAAGAAAAAAAAAAGTACATAATCACTAACGGTCTTTCTTCACGGCCCTGCCGTTTTTTTTTTCAAGGGCCGTTTCCCAAAACGTCACCAATTTTAGATTATTTTCTTTTAAGGCCACACAGTAATGTTGATGTGTTGTTGACGAGTATGTTGAGTTGTTGTTCTTGTTGTTGCTGCAAACTGTGCTTGTGCACCACTGCCATCGCAGCAGCAGCATCACCAAACAATACTACATTTTGGCAGTTCGTCCAAGGCTAAAACATTTGTGTGGCATTTTAGCAGCATTAACTAGCAAATTGCAAAAAACTAACTGGCCATAAAAGATGTGGCTAACACACACGCGGCTTACACCCTATAAATATTTGACACCGTGCAGCGAGCGGACGTTATATCCCTTTGGGAATTGCCCAGCGAGTTCACCGGGCGGCAGCGGAGGACGCACCGAAGCCCTGTGGCCTTCGTGACAAGAAGCACCGAGCACAATGTTATCCAGCCGCTCGATACGCGTTCAATCAATAGGACATTGGGACCTCAATAACGTCCCTCGTCATCACTTGAAGTCACGCAAAGCCCCTTTTGGACCCGTACGCTTCACCTACAACAATGCGAAATCAACCCCCGATGAATCTTGGAGAGCTGAGTGGAGTTCAAAAGAACTCGCAAACACCTCGTGGAAGACCCAACGCAGAAGATCCCTGGTTTTAATATTCCGCGAAGCTCATGGTCCACCTCGAAACCACGTTCACACAAACCACGACAAATGCGGATACCCGATGCACAAACGGAAAATTACAAACTCTCTGGCACTTGACTTGGGGTCATCCAGAACAGACTAAACAACATATCACAACGCAATGCCAAATACATGAATGCGAAGGAGAAATGACAGCAAGACACTCCGCTGTTCCTCACACGACTATCTGGCTTGAGACCACCTGAATGGGACAGTGCGGTTGTCGCTGTGCATCGACATCGGCCGTAAGGAAGTAGAAGAGACACGCAGCAGACTTTTAGAAACGTGACCAGCAAGAGAATACAACCCTAAAAAAAATACTAAAACTATTTTTATTTTACCAGAGAAGGCCCACTGAGCTACATAGCTCTTTTTCAGAAGTGACCTGCCCATAATTGATAGCTCAACGGAGTGGCTTATTTGATGGAATTTATCGCAGACAAATACTCTCAACGCATGTTTCTAAATGTGGAGGCAAAAACCGGAAGGCCCGGAGAAATATCCATGCGGCCATGAGAAGAGAGACATGCAAACTCCAAATATACAACAGACGTCAGGGTCGGAATGGAACCCACGACCTCCTCCTGCATACCAGGCGAGGGAGTTAACACCTCATCACCCACCGCGGCGCCCAGAACACCGGCCGTTCGGCGTGAATTGGGGGGCAGAAGAGGGGGTAACGGCGTAGCGACGGTAGCGGCCCGTGCGAGAGCGCCAAGAGAGGTGCCACCCTCACCTTGATGTCTGAAGAGAAGTTGGAGATCTTGTTCCAGCCGGCATTCTCCAGATGGTGGTTGACCCAGCGGAGGAGCAGCTCCTCGGGAGAGAGCTTCATGAGCTCCTCCAGGCTCTCGCCGTCACGCAGCAGGGCGATGAGGGCTGCGCGCGCACGCGTTGTTGGATAAATACTCAAAAATGCACCCCCTCCTCTGTGTAGCCTACACCGGATGCTGGGGCAAGTGATGTCAGCGAGCACCTATCAGGATCGGCACGTCGCACGAGGCGGCGATGTGGACAGGACCAAACTCGGCTGCCATTGCCTTTCACGTGGTGACGTTTACACACCGCACCCCGGTACTCATTTAAGGCTGATACAGGTGACAGAGAGGTGGGTGAGAGGGCGGGTGTAAGGGGTGAGTGAGTGAGTGGGGTGGGTGGCTGTGAGTGGGAGTGGCAAGTGGGAGGGGTGAGCCAGGTGGCTCACCCTCGTTGCGGGTGAGTGGGAAGGTGAGTGAGAGGGGTGAGCGAGTGGGGTGGGCGAGTGAATGGGGTGGGTCGCTGTGAGTGTAAGTGGAGAGTGGTAGAGCCAAGTGGCTCACCCTCGTTGTGGGCGAGTGAGATTGGTGAGTGAGAGGGGTAAATGAGAGGGGCGAGTGAGAGTGGTGAGTGGAGGCGAGTGGCTGAGCGAGGTGGCTCACCCTCGTTGTGCGTGAGTGAGAGGGATGAGTGAGTGGTGAGTGAGTGGTGGTGAGTGACAGTGGTGAGTGGAGGTGAGTGGCTGAGCGAGGTGGCTCACCGTCATTGCGCGTGAGTGAGTGGTGAGTGGTGGTGAGTAAAGAGTGGTGAGTGGCGGTGAGTGGCTGAGCGAGGTGTGTCACCCTCGTTGCGCGTGAGTGGTGGTGGTGAGTGAATAGTGGTGAGTGGTGGTGAGTGAGAGTGGTGAGTGGCGGCGAGTGGCTGAGCGAGGTGGCTCACCCTCGTTGCGTGTGAGCTCGATGTCTGCGAAGAGGCCGATCTTGATGATCTGCCACAGCAGGCCCAGCACCAGGTGGGGCTTGCCCTCGCGCAGATCCTCCGCGCCGATGTTCACCACGTGGCAGCCGATCGCCGATGCCGAGTTCAGCGCCAGGTTCAGGTTCTCCTGCGGGGGGGACGAGCGGCGGTCAGCAGCGCAGAGACTCCCGGTCAGCGCACGGCGCACGGCACCAGCACACAGCACCAGCACCAGCACACAGTACTTAGCACTAGCGTACAGCACCAATCACATAGTACATGGCGCTCAGCACAAGCACACAGTACAAGCACCACGCACACAGTACTAGCACCAAGCACACAGCACTAACACCAAGCACAAAGCACGCAGCAGACAGTGTGCCTCACACAACACCAGCATGTAGCAGCAGCACACAGCACACAGCAAACAGCGCACAGCACACAGCAAACAGCACACAGCGCACAGCACACAGCAAACAGCACACAGCAAACAGCGCACAGCACACAGCAAACAGCACACAGCACGCAGCAAACAGCGCACAGCGCACAGCAAACAGCACACAGCGCACAGCAAACAGCGCACAGCAAACAGCGCACAGCACACAGCACACAGCAAACAGCACACAGCGCACAGCACACAGCAAACAGCACACAGCACACAGCAAACAGCGCACAGCACACAGCAAACAGCACACAGCACACAGCAAACAGCGCACAGCACACAGCAAACAGCGCACAGCACACAACAAACAGCACACAGCAAACAGCGCACAGCACACAGCACACAGCAAACAGCGCACAGCACTCGCACTGAGCACAGAGCGCTGACGATAGAGGCACGACGGCCCGGCGCCAAGGACACGGACCTGGATGGTGAACGGAGTGAGCTTCTTCTTGTTGATGGTCCTCTCGTCAATGGTGTCCGGCACCGAGTGGTTGATCATCTTACTGGAGAACACAGCAGGACACGCACACTTCACTCCGCTGCACATCGACTGAGCCACCGCTATGAACGTAACTATTATAATAATAAAACAGGTGTACCCCGATATACAATCACTTGCTTGACAAAGCTTTGCTACGACGTTCGTCATAAATGAAACGCTTTTTTTTGGTTTACACCTCGTTTGATTCGTTATTACTCATGGTGGCCCACAGGGGGGGGGGGGGGGGGGGGGGCGCTCCGTGTGTCCCCTCCCTCGACATCGTGCGGAAGTCTCCATCAGGAGGGAGTTCCACAAAGTGGGGAGGGGGGCACCAAAGTAAACGCCCGGATCATCCCAAAAATGCAACCAAGATCGACATGTACATCAGTGACAATATTGTTCTTGCTGCTGCTGAGAGGTGCTACGGGCGAGAGGGCCTGGCCGTGACGGCGGTGCTGGTGGCTGCCACGTGGAGGACCGTGCTGCGGCGCTCTCACCAGAGGACGATGCCGTCGCCCATGGCCTGGAAGAGCGCCTCCGTGTTGGGGTTCGTTGGCAGCACGTGCCGGCAGTCCGGGTCCGACTCCAGGGCCTTGTTGATCCAATTCACAAACGCAAACTTCTCTTCCTCTGCACCGTACGCCCGCCACACAAGCACACGGAGTGAGCGCGCAATAAAGAGGTGCCCGCGTGGTTACAGGGTGGAGGAGAAAACATTTATTAAAAAGTCTATTTAATTAAGTAGAACGTGTTGTCTATATTTATTTAAAGTTGCGCATTTTTACGTGACGTCACATTTCTCAAACCCCCCCCCCCTTGTCACACATCGTCACAAATGTCTCACCCCCCGCCCCCGCCACTAGGCGCATGACATCATTTATGGACGGCCCCTTTGTCTAGCGCCAGAGTATAGCGTGAGGGCGATGGTGATTGTCGTCGACGCGGACAGGAGCGCACCAGAGTAGGAGTGCTGTGTCCCAGCGCTGGACAGCTCCGACAGGCCACCCATGGCACAGATGCCCTCCTTCTTGTTGATGGCCCGGCGGAACGTCTTGCTCACCTCGCTGCTCTTCAGCCCATGGAAGATCTGCCAGAGGGGGGAGGCAAGTTCGCAGTCGCCCGCTCAAACGCAACGGCCCTCTCTAAAAAGGGTTGAATTCGCGGACACCCAGCATGAATAGCTGGAAAAATGAGGGAGAAATGAGATGGGATGGACTCTGGATACTACACCACCCTGCCTTGCACATGGTAACCGTTCTGTTCTGTTTGATTACATTATTCATCCCCGCCCCCCTTAGATACGCTGCTCGTGGTCGTGACCCCTACCGTGGTAGGGCAGCTAGCCTGGACACTCCTTCGATCACTAATCTTGAGGGTGCATCAAGCCTCGCCTGTTACACGTTATCTGTTGTTTTTCCCTCCTTTTTTTAAATGCCCATTGGATTCTGGGTAAGGCCCACTGAGCTGTACAGCTCTCTTTTTGGAAGCGACCTGGCCACAAATGATAGTTCAACGAATTGGCTAATCACGTGGAAATTTATTGATTCAAAATATGGAGGGAAAACCGAAGGACCCAGAGAAACATCCATGTGACCACGGGGAGAGAGACATGTAAACTCCAAATACAGATATCAGTCAGGCTCGAACCCACGCCCTCCTGTATAGCAGGCGAGGTAGTTAACATCTCGCCACCGTGGCGCCCTAAATCAACGCGTGGTCTAATCAACGCATGGTCACAAGCCCAGCGTCCAAAAAACCCAACAAAACCAGGCCGTCAACTGTAACCACACGATGGCGTTGATCGTAAAAATACAGGCGAGTTCAAAATAGTTTTCATACATCCAAATAGAATAAATATAATTGTGCTATTTTCCATTTAAAAATAAGAACATAGCACACCTCCACTTTTAACATTGACAGTACATTCATTTAAAACAAATTTCACAGAAAGGCGTTCACAGGAATGGAGCTTATGCCATGTGCTGCGATGAGGCTTATGTCCTTGCAATAGCACATTGGTTATACATTGTTTACTCACACAGCACAGCAGCTCACACAAAGCACACGTTGTCACCACACAAACAAATCGTGGCTTTAGTCGCGAAGATTAAGCCTGGGACTGACCGGCGGCCGGAGAGAAGCTCCATACTCCTGTACAGAATAGATAAGCGGACGATACTTCTCCTTCCCATGTCAAGAATCAGAATCTTCATTTATCCTGTAGAAATCTGATGAGCTAAGATGCTCTTTCTCACAAATGTCCGTTTGCCCACATACAAAACAGAAGTATCCGTTACACTATCCATCAGCCGCACGGCCTTCTGAGAGTGCAATTTCCAGCAGTATTGTTTCAAGACAAGCAAACTCCGGACCGGTTTCGACACGCAGTGTCTCATCGGCAGTCAGGCTCGCATGAATCAATGCTGGTGAACTTCAGTACAGGTGAACACCATCGTGCTGGTACAGGATGGAGTTCACCCGTGACTGGAATGAGGTGTATGAACAAGCAGCGTTTAGACAAAACACATGCAGGGGACAACGAACTGGAGAATACGCAACAGAAAAGGCAGCTGGGTTTTGAGTAAAAACATCGTGGCATGAACTGGTTTCCAAAGAAGGCATCACTTGAGACCCAATAATATTTTCTAAGTGTACGACAGGTTTCCCTCGCTCTATGCAGGTTCTGGTTGTGCGATTAGAGGCCATATATACGGCTAACCTATTTCTACCAAAATTTAACTATTCTTATTACCGTTTAAATTCACTCTTCATGCAGCTATGCGGTCGGAAGCGGCACAATATTGTGTACTCTGTGTACTGTGTTTACTGTGTGTGCACTGTTTGTTCTGCGTGTGTACTGTACGGTGTGCGTATTTTGTGTACTGCGTGCGTACTGTGTGTGTGTGTACTGCGTGTACTGTGTGTGTGTACTGCGTGTACTGCGTGTGTGTGTACTACATGCGTGTGTACTGCGTGCGTACTGTGTGTGTGTGTACTGCGTGTACTGTGTGTGTACTGCGTGCGTACTGTGCTGTGTACTGCGTGTACTGTGTGTATGTGTACTGCGTGCGTACTGTGCACGCTACTCAGCAGGCAGCTGTCTCCTCGTGCCATTTCGCTTTGTGCGCGCTTCCTTTTGAAAGCATCTACCACTGTGACTACCACCGCGCAGAGCGAGGGAAACCTGCAGTTGTTGCATTCGTCAAATTGCTCTCGCGAGCGTCTCTTTTGCACGTTGCAGAGGAAGCCAGGGTGCCAAGGTAACACCGGGCAGGAAATGACACTCAAGCTCTGCACGACACACGAGCTTACGTGCGCGGCTCTTCACCTCCTCTAGAGGCAGCGCCTCTTTGCCCAGCAGGCGAGTGTCTGGCACACACCGGGAACTTGCGTGAGCGCCAGCCCACCCCCCAGCATCAACGTCACCCGGCGGTCGGTCTACCACAAGCTCGACCCCGTTAGCTCTTAGTGTCCCTCGTATGTCGCAAATATCTTTGTTTCGTCATCCATTCAGCCTGGCTTAAAGGGGATTTGAGGTTTGGCTCCACGCCTCCCGAGTTCTCGCAGGAACATCATGAAATATGCATGCTATGAATTGTGTTTATGATTATTATTGTCATTAAGGGAGCCCCTTGGCTTTTACTCAAATGCAAATAACGAGCAGGCGACAGCCAGAGTGAGGTGGATGTCGCCCGATGTGGCTGTTTGTATAATTACCGACGAAACGTCATACTCGAATTGTAATTGTTGTGGGCTTACTCTCCAACACACCGGCGTGCTGTGCTAGTAACGGATTGCCACCTTTTGTTTACGTGACAAACCTTACTAATTGGCTGTGTCGGGTGGTGGTGGCGGGTTTAACAACCCATACTGCACCGACATCACGCCGAAATGTAGCCATACCTCCCACCCACCCCTTCCCCCCACCCATCGCCAAATCCTTACCGACACAAACTCCTCGAAGCTGATCTTGCCATCCCGGTTGGTGTCGCTTTCGGACATGAGGTGGGTGATGATCTCGCGCACCTTGTAGCCCGGCAGCGGCAGATTGGCCTCCTTAAAGAGCTCCTGCAGCTCATAGTCATTGACGTAGCCACTGCCGTCCAGGTCTAGGGGCACGGGGGCAGGGAATTAGGGCACGGAACCCAGCAGTGTTCTTCACTCATCTTCACTCATAAGGGGCACTGCGGTGGCGAGACATCGCCTGGTATGGAGGAGGTCATGGGTTCGATGGCGACCCTGACGATGCTTGTATATCCGGATTTTCCCTCCACATATGGAATCAACATCACGCGTTTAGAGTATTTGGCTGCAATAAATTTCCACGTGATAAGCCACTTCGTTGAGCTATCATTTGTGGGCAGGTAACTTCCAAAAAAAGAGCAATATAGCTCAGTGGGCCTTACCTAGTAAAACAGAAAATAGCAGCCAAATACTCGAAATGCATGTCGATTCCAAACGTAGAGGGAAAAGCCCGGAGGACACGGAGAAAAATCCACGCGACCACGGGGAGAGAGAGACACGCAAACTCCAAATATAGAGGCGTTGGGGTCAGGATCGACCTCCTGTATACCAGGCGAGGTAGTCAACATCTCCGAGCCACCGAGGCACATGACGAACGGCGCGACTGAACCCTGTCCCGCTGCGATTGCACGCACGCACTCACCAACTTTGGAGAACGCCTCCCGAAGCTCCTCCAAGTCGTCCTTGGAGATGACTGCCTTCTTCGCCATCCTGCTGCTGCTGCTGCTGCTCCACTACTCTGCACTGCACACACCAACACGGGACACGGACATTGCTCGTTCAGCCTGAGGGCCAGGGTTGCTGTTTCACGAGTTACCCTTAAAGTTGATGTAATTCCCCGCTCAAATTGTATTCTGTGTTGCGTACGGCGGCAATATGTTCAGGAGCTCGATAGTTTGTTGCCAACCCCCCGCACCTCCGATTAGCAAGGTTGACTACGTACGTTCAGAAAAAAGTTCAACATACAGACAATGTAAGGGTCTTCTGGCCATGAGTTGATGTTGTTATTCTATTCTTCCTCCGTTGAAGGAGTTACCGACCACAGTCTATTACTACATGGCTCACAGTTTACTAAATGGTCCAGCTTAAAAAAGGCAGTAGTGGAGATTCCTCATTCCTACGGCAGGGAGAGTGGCAGGGGGCAGCAGGTCTATCCATAGGACAACCATTGTGAACTTCTGCACCAATTGGTACACATGTAGTGACATCGCGGATGTCACTGTGTAATATCGGCTCAAGAGAGGCACGGCATGCGATGTATTGGCATCGCAGGCACCAAGTATATGTGGGTGCAGTACCGGCCCTAGAGGCCGTGGCACTCTAGTTGATCCTAGAGGACACGTGACCGGTAAAGTCTACACAGGGCCCCCAGGTGGAGGCTAGGGGTGGTCACGTGTCAGGGTCGAGATCCTGCTCGAGGATTCTAGAAGGTGGTCGTGGCTAAGGGCGGAGCCAGCCCCGCCACAGAGGATATAAGCCGGGTCTCCGATAGGGACCGGCTGCTGTTGTTCATCCTGAAGAATCTACGTTCTACGTTCTACAAGAGTCGCCAACACGTGGACCGGGACCCAAGCTGTGGTCCTGTCTGTCGTAGCTAATTCCAGTGTAATTAGTGCAGTTAGCCTGGTGGTCCACCACAATAAGTTTGTTAATGTGTTAAGGGGTAGTACCCCGTGTGTTGGTTTAATAAATGTGTTGCCTCCAAGAAGTACGCCTGCAACTCAGTTGAACTCACTACACATTTTATCAACGCGGGAGAGATGATGAGCCGACTCATCCCACCTCCAACCAGGATTTGAACTCGTAACCTTCTGGTTGTGGGCCGCTCGGTCTACCATGGAGCCACCTGGCCGGCTAAAGCTGCAGTAGACCAGCATTTGCCTCCCCATGCTGGTGGTAACAAAGGCAAAGATCCCCTATATAGCCTTTAACAGACTGTTGGGTTAAGTACTGTTAGCGAGCAGCTATGAAGGCGGAATTGTACCCGAGGGGGTGGGTGGCCAACACGCCGCCCGACTGCCTTTGTCTCCCCAAGCGGCGATGTTTACACACTGCACCAGATACGCATGTAAGGCCGAGTCGGCCTAAGGGAGGCCTAGGACCGGTTCAGGTAATCGTCACTGGTGGTGTCCATGAGCAGGAATCGAACTCTGGTCGCCGGGTTCGTAGCGCAGTGGGCTGCAGTGTGTGGTAACACACACACCAGAAACTCATTCTATACTCTGGGTCACCCAGGACAAGTTGCAATACTAATTACTTCCGATTCTGATTAACACTGATGTAAAACTATCCATGCTAACACAGGCTAACATGCGAAGCTGTCATATACATACAACACTTTACATACGACAGCTGCAATTAATCACTGGCAGGTGCTAATTAGGCAAGTTAGTGATGTGCTGCTTCATTCACGTAAATTGATTAATAGACGGCAGTGAGTTGCGCGCATGAAAACAATTTATTTACAATATTACTGGTAGGAACCTTCTGGTTACACCAGCCCACAGGGGATTATTGTGTTCGTCCGTCGTGCAGGGAGGGGCTGGGTAAGGAGGGAGGGGCTGGGTGAGGAGGGAGGGGCTGGGTGGGGAGGGTGGGGCTGGGTGGGGAGGGGAGGGTGGGGAGGGGCTGGGTGAGAAGGGTGGGGAGGGCTGGGTGGGGAGGGTGGGGAGGGGCTGGGTGGGGAGGGTGGGAGGAATGGGGCTGGGTGGGGAGGGTCTGGTCACCCCGTGGTTCCCTTATAAAACTCAACGTTTAACCTACTCACGCCGGCTTGTGCCCGCCCTCACAGTCGGCCATATTTGCGGAATACACCACGCCGCCGTTGACCCTGGCCATTGACCGAGCAACCCAACGTTCCTACCAGCTCTCTCCGCAGGAATGTGTTTGCAAATTACCGTATGTGAAGTTCATATGCGAACGTCACACTCGGGCTAACGAAGCAAACTAGAATGTATAAACAGGGCAGAAAAATCTGAGAAATTACACAAACAAAACTGTCAAATTTAAACAAGACAAAGAATGGATTCCTGAATCGACTCATGATCCCACTCACTGCGGTGCCCAATCACTACCCCCAAGCTGTAATGTAACACGTGGCAACCTCACTTGATGAATGCGAGTGGGGGGACATGACTTGTGCAGGCCAACGCGCTCGAGCAATCGGCTAATGACTTCGTTGGTCGCAAATTAAATTCTGGGCAATGTTCAAATTCATCGGCAATTCCTCGCCCGATAAGGCTGCACCACTTGGTGGTGAGTCTACAGTAGTTGTCATTTGGAAAGACTGGGGACGCTGCCATAGACAAATGGAATTGCCACCACTGGCTCAGGGCTGACAATGTAAATAATGCTGAGACGACGGGAAAAATAAAAAAATTTGCCCAATTAGGCGGAGTACGAATTCTCACTGAACGAAAGTAGAGTTCTCACAGCTGTGCCCCAAGCCATGACCCGGTCTGCCGGAGACCCACGGTGATCCCACAGTAACCGCACGCCGACCCCACAGCACAGCAGCTGAACGCAGATTGCAGCACCGCGCAAACACAACGGGCGCCACGGGACGACGTCACGCCGTGCCGGGGGTTGTGCAGCGTGAGACCGCCGACGCCCCCATCGCAACACCATGTGTGTGTGCGAGGCTTAACGGCGAAACGTGGGGCAGATCCGTCAACACCGTGGACTCCAAACTGCATTTAAAACGGACGTCTCACATGAACTCGTGGGAAACGTGAAACGGGCAACAGCCGTTCTGAAAACCCACGCAACGCACGGGGAAGCATCATCCCATACAAACGAAACTGTCCCCTTCCTGCTGTACTGCCGTCTCCTGGCGAGCCAGGGTACGACTCCTCGGCGCCCACTGGAAGGGAGTTTCACAACATTCGAGCAGCAATCCACCAACCCTCGCCTCCACTGCTGTATTAATGGCCATGTGCAAAGCCACCAGAAAATGCAACAAAAACAACCAAAAGATCGTGGGCGGTGACTTGACCGAGCGGTATCGTGTTCTGCCGCTTCTTGCAGATGATGTTGATGGTTCGAGACCCACGGCCACCCTGGTTAACACTGGGGGGTGTTCTACCCAAAGGTTCGTCCGTAACGTCATTCAAAAGGGAGTAGGGCACACGTGCCGGAGTCGTGGTACAGGTTTGCCAAATAAATAAAAAAACTTTAAGTGCCCGCAAATTACATGCGGCGATTATCGCCTCCCCCTATAATCATACCCACACTCGGCGGCTGTCTGCAAAATGTATCGCCTTCATTCATAATAGCCTCGCGCGCTGTTAGGTATGGCGCGAATACAAAATGTACTCAATTATTTTACGAGATTCAAATGTCAGCCAAGGTGAACATGGCCCCTTCATGCCTCCAAGGTCAGACACGTGAGCGTCAGCTGCTGAGGCTGCGGCACCCATTGGATGGAAATTGTAGTGATCGTCCCTTGGCATAGGAATGTGGTATTTTCACCAATGTTTCAGATCATCTTTCAGTAAAGATGAGCACTGATTAAAACTATTCTAGGCACGAGGAACATGTATTACAAGCTGGGTACTGTGAGCCTAAAGCACGCAGTCACAGTTAAATATATTACAGTAAATTATTACATAATAACATTTAAACTCTTCCTAAGCCAAGTCCACACCCGAACACAGTTACCTAACCTGGATTGTGTACATCACGCAACCAGTTGCTTACAGCAGATACTCGACTATCAAGCAACAATACGGCTCAAGCGATCGTCACGTGCTGCACATTCGTGAACTGTGATTGGTCGTAACGATGCCGAATGCCGCGCTTAATTTAGAAGTTCTCGAAACTACTCGCAGGCGATTTAAGTTGCGTCGACGATTGCGCGAGCGAATTTGGTTTGCACAACTGCTTGGCTTGGTTCAGGTGTGGAGCCGGCTGGCTTTACACCCGTTCGATGGGCGTGGGGTAGTGTAAGGTAGATACTCTTAGTTTTTTCGGTAAAGTCACGTAAGTAAAAAATGAAATTAAAATGTATAAAAATAAAATAATAAAAATCACGACGTTTCGGAGGCAACACAAGTCTCCGTCATCAGGTGGGACCTTCACAGCCAGATTTGCTGTATCAAGTGAGCCAGATTTGCTGTATCAAGTGAGACAGGGATTCTTGTGAGGCAGGGATTCCAAGATTCCAAGAATCCCTGCCTCACTTGATACAACAAATCTGGCTGTGACGGTCCCACCTGATGACGGAGACTTGTGTTGCCTCCGAAACGTCGTGATTTTTATTATTTAATTTTTATTAATTAAATTTTTTACCTACGTGACTTTACCGAAAAAACTAAGAGTATGAATCCTTGCAGTCACGAAAGCTTCAAATCTAGAATTAGTGTAAGGTAGGCCAATTAGCAGATTACAGCATTCCCTCGTTATAAATTGATACCCCAGGTTTTGGCTATCCATGAATCGCATCTGGAACTCTACATGACTGCATCGACGGAGAGAAAGAAAGTGGTGAGATAAAGTGATGAGAAAGATGTGATGAGAGAGAAGGTGATGCGATAATAGATTCCGTAGACCAATATCATTATCGACTAAATTTTCAATTCACGAGCATCTCCAGTAGGTATCCCTCGCGAACGAGGTAATACTGTACACCAGTCATGACCAGTGGGTAGATTATAGAGCTGGGAAGAGCCAGATAACAGGAGAAATGTGATAAGACCAACACAAACTGGTACAGATGTAGTTTAACATACGTATGTTATATTAAT